TAGCCTTGGTTACTTCTGAGCGTTGCGTTTTGATGTTACGATATTTTTTGGAGATTGATAGAAACACCCGTCTTTAATCTAAACATAGAGTAATCTAGATTAGTAGGTTGTTATTTGTCTTCTCAGTAGTTGGATTGTAAACGCTATACTATTACCTTTGTTGGGTGAATTTTATATCAAGATTCTGGCTCTTGTCATTATTTTCGGTTTAAATATATTTTTCTCTTAGGGTGTTATAAAATCGGGTTGAATAACAAATAATACTGAGTTGGATACCACATCACTCGCCACATCAGCATGGTAACCGGTTAATGCTTCAACTTGTTACTCGGGTACTTAAATGTACCAGAATGAAAGTTTTGAAAATACGTTGTTCAAAATAGGAATCAAACTAAAGTACGTTACTTTTTCATGCAATTTGCTCTGTTTAATATTCTTATTTGAATTGAACTGTATTCAATTATTGTAATTATAATTTGAAGTGGTAATGATCAATTCTTAGTGTTTTGATAACTGATTGTGCTTGTTACAGTTTTAGATAACTGATTGATGTTAGTTGCAATAAAATTGATTATGGAATGATAAACTAAATGAGACATGTTTACTGTCATATAACCATAGGAACTTTGTATTTTTGTTTTTGCTTGTTTTATAACTAATGTTTTAAATAACCAGAATGGGATTCGCGTTCTGTTGAATGGTAACAGTACGATCTCTAACAATGAACTAGATTAACCACAAGAGTGGTGCCTGATTGGTTTGAGCTTGGCTCCAAATGTCAAAAGTACTAGGAGGTATCAGGTTCAAATCCAAAGAGGAATAAAAATCTTCTTATAGCCACGGAGGTTCAAATGCGGTGACTTCGGCCTATCTGCAAAGCAGGTGGTCGCCCTGGGATTAGTCGGCTCGCATAGCGGGTTGGATATCCAGGTTATGGTCCATGGGTTTGGTCCGGATCTATTATTGATGTTGAGGATATGATGTATCTGTCTTGGATATATTCTTGATGTTGGTATGCGTGTAATTTGAAATCTCAAATTACAAGTTTGCCCTGAAACTCCAAATTAGATGTGCGATTAAGTATGATTTTCGCAAATATTACAAAAAATGCCACCGTTTTTAATGGCATTTGATTAAAATCATTGGATGATTGAGATTGATACTCACGGTCTTCAACCTATTTTTAGTGCTCACATGATTTAGCCCGTATTTATTTATAGCACAAACAGTGAATATAATAAAACAGCCGTGATAATCACATATGAATAACCACGACTATTTATAATATACGAGTGGCCATTAATCATACATGCATGTTGTGCAACGAATATGACTATTGTTATATTGTTAAATCATAAGATGTGGATCATTCATATTAGGGGTGTTCAAAAAAACCGTTGGACCGCTCAAACCGATCGAACCAAGTCAAACCAGACGGTTTTTGGCAGTTTGAGCAGTCTGGTGGTTTTGTCTGGTTTGGAAAATAGCAAAACCGGGCGGTCCGGTCCGGTCTGGAACCTTTTTTGGACGGTTTGGACCAAAGCAATTGCCAAATACATACGTGCGTGCGCGCGCACACACACACACACACATATATATATATATATATATTTATTTATTTATTTATTTTAGCAAGTCCAAATTTTTTTAACTTATGGGCTATGACCCAAATATATCTCTAAGCCTCACATAAAGCCTAACATCTAACATAATTAAATCCAAATGAATCGGCGCCTAAAAATCCCTAAACCAGTAAACATATCGACACATTTGACATTGACAGTCTCCAAATTTTGAAATCCTTCAAAAAACTCTATCAATCTATTGATCTTTTCTAATTCATGGTTTAATTCCGGCGCACATCATCAAGACATCAATCAAGTGATTCAACCAACTAAAATTTGGTTTTCATTTTGTTTGGTCAAGAACTCAAGACTCAAAATTTGAAGGTTGTTAAGTCATGGATTTTGTTACTCAATACTCACAGTTGTAATTTTGTTAATCTGTTTGTTTTCTAATATGTATTATATATTTATTTGTTTGAACTTTGGATTGCTTGGATTTTGGACTCAAAAGCTACTTAATTATTAGATTTATTTTGTTTGAATATTTTGTTTTGTTAAAATGGATATTTAATCTAAAATTATAAATTATATATGTTTTTTAAGTTTAATATTTAAAGTCTATTGAAGGTCCAAACCGCCTAAACCGGTTAGATTAGACCGCATTTTCGTGGTCTGGTTTGACCGATCTGGGCGTTTGATGTCAAACCATTCGGTTTGAAAATTTTATAAACCACAATTACGGTTTAGTTTGTGGTCTGAGGGTTAAACCGTCCAAACCGGACCGCGAACACCCTTAGTTCATATGATAATCAATCAACATTCAGTTTATATGCTTAATAGCGGGTTTTCACATTTGATACGAAAACCAATTATGCGTGATTGATAACATCGTTTATGACAAAGTAAGAATAATTAAATTATAGAATATGCAACACACACACACATAGGTGGAGGTTCAAACGAGAACACCTCTATTTTACGAGAACGCAAGAACACTATTACCACATGTGATAATACGCGTGAGGGGACCCTGTAATGTGCGAACGACGTGTTCTACGACTTAGATCACGCCAAAGGTTGTCTGCGTCTATGATTTAGCATCACATGTGATGGTCTTGATGGATTATAGTATTATATCAACAATAACCTTATCACATGTGATAATACTTGTGAAGGAGCTTAGTGGTGAAAGGGCGATTTGGCCTGCAACCAAGATCGCATAGAAAATCGTCTGCGTCTCTGATTTAGTATCACATGTGTATCATATGTGATGGAATAATAGTATCACATGTGATCGTCTATAATAAAAAGGGTGTTATTGCATTCTCGTAAAATGAAGGTGTTCTCGTTTGAACCTTTCCCATATATGTATGTATATATATATATATGTGTATGTATATGAGATAAGTTATTAGGTGAAACAAAAACGTTTGAAACATTATCACATGTTTTGTACAACCAACTTTGTGCATGAATCAAACACAATCATGTCTTTATGCAGTTGATTAGGTGTGATAGAATATATGACCAAATTCCAAGATTACATTGACACATTATCAAACTTAATTGTATGTCACATAAAGATTTTGTGCATAATCACATGTGATTAAACTCATGTTCCACGAAGATAAAATTAATAATAAACATAAATTGGTTACGAAAAAAAACAAGGTTATGAATGAATTCACATGTTTCACAAATGAATATGTCCTATGAATAAATAGTGTTTCACATATGCATTTAAACTATGTGTACAGACCCTAAATTATTTCTCAAATGAATATGTTTACATGTGAAACTAAATGAAGATATTCATCCTTCATAAATGAACATGTTTCACATATTACGTGCAATCCCATAAAATAAACACGTAAAGTTAGCACTAATTACATGTTTCACAAATGAACATGTCTCATGTATGAACAGTGTTTCATGTATTACAGATTTGTAGGTGTGAACATTGGCTTTCACATACGCTGCTTAAAATTGGATATTGAAGTGGCTTACCTATTTTGCCCTTTGTTCACTTGTTTCGTCGAGAAGGACCCTCATCCATTGTTAAACTAATTACCATAATGCCACCCTTTCATCATGGATCGTTGATTTCATCAATCAAAGCAAAGCAAGGGAAAGAGAAGGAAACGAGGGGACAAAATCTCGAGAAAGAAAATAAGGGGTTGTTTGTTTACCTCTTAATAGTTACATTTAGATGCAACATCTGAATCGTTAAGAGGTGAATATTGTCTGTTAAAAAAATCCGTCTCTTAATGGTTCTAAAACCCCATGAATGATTTTGTATCATGAATCTCTCTTAACCATTCAACGCTCTAATTTCATTGTAAACAATTACCAAAAAATTATATTTTATTTTGCATTATATCCTATTAATCATTTTGCACCAAATCATTCAACAACTGTCAAACATCCTCTAAAACTTATTTTTCTCCCGAGAAAAGTTTTAAAATAAAATAATTAAAAATATTTATAAAATTACATATTTATCCCATCAATTATAATTTAATATAATTTTATGTTCTATTTTTGGACATGCCAAGTTCATTGTACCAAATTGTATCCTATTTTTTGCGTGCTACGGAAGATGGCATTTTTGTCAATTGAAGTGAAAACGGAGGGCAAAACTGTCAGGTTGTCACGGGCCGATCTCCGCCGGAATCCTAGTAGACGACAGATCCTCCTCTTCCTATTTCTTTAACTATTTTTTTTACACCTTCATTCCATTCCCAATTCGTATCCAACGTCCCCTTCTTCAACTTGAGCGGTGCCAAGGTTCCTTTTCTCACTTTTAGCTTCATCATATAAAGATGCTCAAACTATGCCCCTTCGGTTCGTGCTTATGATTGTTCAATTGTTGATTACTTATGATCTTTAATCAATTCAATTGAGCTTTATCGTTGTAAATTTGGTGGGTATTGGTTATCAAACGCAAAAGGGTTTCACTTCAAAAGAAATCTGTACCTTTGAAATGAATTTCACTCTCTAGATTTTGAATTTCTTTGTTTATATCTCTACTTTTGATGATGGGTCTTCGTTAATTTTACGCTAATTTTGAACTTTGATCTTTAGGATCATGTAACTTTGGATTTTGAGTTCGTTATTGGGATTTTAGAGTGCAGAATCCTGTTTCAAATGCAGAGAGCGATCATGGTTATTTGAAATGCACAAATAGATGTGTGTTTGTGGTGTAGTCTAATTCACAAGTAGGATTGTTAAGCTCCAAGGATTTTTCTGCCTAGTAATGTATCTATTTGGAATGAGTTCTTTTGATTTTTGTTAAGTTTCACCGGATAATTTTTGAAACTGTATTGTTGTATCAGTATATATATTTGTGGGTTTCTTCCACTTTTATGTGGAAAACACGAAATTTTATTCGATTGATGCTGGAATGTAGCACAAGTGTTCAAGATTTCACTTAAATTTGGATGAATGTTGGTCCCATTACTTGATGTGAGAAGAATGGGGAACCAAGCAAATGTATAGATGAATGGAATTAATTTAGCTTCTATTTTCCAATAATGTCTGATTCTAGTGTCTTTTTACTATGATCATTGATTCATTGTATAAATACTGACTATTGAGCTCAATTTTCTTCGTAGTAAACTATCAATCTTGAAACAATTTCTTAGGTTAAATGGTTTCTATTTGCCTGATTCTTGGCCAAATCCATGTATCTCAATAGGGATCTTCCATTATATTGTGAAATCAAATACTGATGGTTCAATCAGAAAATTTTGTGGCGATGTTTTTTTGTTGCATTTGACGAAAACTCTCATTGTTATTGAAGTGTGATATTTTGGACAAAGAAGTTGAGCATTTTCTTTTGTTTCCTTCTATTTCTTCTAGTTTATGCATAAATGTGTTGTATATGCTAAATTTTTTTATTTTGTATTGCATATGCAGTGGTGAAAACATGTGGTGCCTTGCCAATTGATGGAGATGTGGATATACTGTGGTGAAGTTGGTGAACACTGTAAGATTCAATTAACCAACTGTGATCCCGATTCGCTACAAAAAGCTATTTACATAGGGGCTTCTGTGTATTAGAGGACCCAGCGGTTTCAATCTTTTGCAAATAGACGAGATTTCTGCAGAAGGAGGGTAATTATTTTGGCTTTTGGGTTTAACGCGGTTGGTTGGTGGTGTTTTCGTTAAATCATGCCTCAAATACAGAAGCTTTATAATGCCTGTAAAGCATCTTTATCTCCAACTGGACCGGTGTCAGAGGATGCTCTTGGAAAAATTCAAGCTCTCTTAGGTAGGACATATAAAGCTCGTTTGTTTGCTTGTCTGGTTTTCTTTGATCTCTTAGTTGCCTATATTGGAATAATTGTCAACGAGTCATATATATTAGCCATCTATATATCATTTCTATCATGAATCATCCACAATGACATCATCATCGTCATTCTTTATTGTATCTTTATGTTCATTTCTGTTTTCTCAGGACATTTCAGAGGCTATTTTAGAATTGTTCTGCAATGGTCGTGTTCTTTTAGAGATACGGACATCGATCAATGAATACCTCATCCATTCTAAATGCGTAATTATTCATAGTAGTTCATCCATTTATTCTTTTTGGTATATATCCACTCAAAGTATGGTTACTATAGTGCACATACCTATGTGAATAGGTGTATCAATTACAAGAAATAGGTCATATGTTTGTGAAGTATTGAATATTTTGATTATATCTACACAGTTATTTAAGAATTATAGCTATAGACATCACCACATCCAAACCTTTACACGATATCTTGGATGACACTGAAGTGCAGAAAAATGTCAAGCGGGCTTTCTTGCTCGGAATCATCTTTACTCTGAGGTTTGCTATTTTGTAAACTCATATTGTGATGTCATGAGGCGTGATAAGGTTTTCGATTCAATGGTTTTATGGGGAAGCAAGTAAACTTCATACTCCTGTTGCAAAAAAGAGAGCACTATGCTCAAAAGTCAAAATTTTCGGGAATCCTCTGTTGGTGGGAGTCAATGTATTTGGGGCTTGCTTGATGCAGGTTTTTATCAAAACAGAAACTGCTCCAAATATTCAGTTTTTAAATCCTAGGAAACAAAAACCGTCATTTTTTCTTGGTTTTGGTCTGGTTTCACTTTGCTTTTTTTTGGGGGGGGGGGTGATTGACATGTTTAGGTGATTTAGAAAAGTTTCCAAAGGGGATTCTTGTCCATTATATTGACATATCATCAAGTAGCAGGGTAAGCTTCTTGATAAAAATATCATATACCCTTTTTCATCAATTTTCTTAAAGAAAATTGACGTAGTTACCCGTGAGTGATAAAACATATGAGAACCACTTTGATTCCTATGAAAACGAAGCTTGATCAAATGAAAAGTGGATCATAAGATACCAACAAGAGTCTAGGAATAAGCATCTCCAAATGGTCAGAGTAACCTTGTGAGACATGCATAGTTGCATGCACTTGAGAAATATACACAAACTCACTTGGATATTTTCCAAACACTTAAAATTGTCACCCTCTCACCTAAAATGTGAATGTGCAGCATGAATCACTCGAAATCACTTTTCAGAATGTCCTTCACATGTGAATTAGTTATCATTGGACATGTTTGAAGTGTCCAACCTTTTTTTTACAAAACAATGGTATATCTCATGTTATGGCTTTGTCGTGATCAGCAGATTTCGAACTATCATGTTGTGGCTTTGTCACGTCTGTATGCATAAAAAATAGAACGTTTAATATGTTTGTCTAATGCAAGCTCTACCCTCTCATGTGCTTATTCATCTCATACCAAGTTGTGTGCCATAAAGACAACTTCAGAAATGTTTGGTGGAACAGAGCGTAAAATTCCGTTTCTGACCTTGTGCCATGTTCATGAAACAATTATATATATATATACACTTGAGACACTACTTATTTGATTACTCTACTTTTATTATGCCATCCTGACGGCTTTCTTGATTTTGATTTTGGTGGTTTTTGTATTTTTGGGCAGCAGTAGTGCTAATGCTGTCAAGAAATGCAGTTGTTTTTTCTTTACTAATTTATGAATTTGTAAACATACTTGCATGCACACACACATATGTACATTAGTACACGTCTGTATAAATCGATTTATGTCCACACATACATATATCTATATCTATGTATGTATGCATAGGCGAAGGATCGTGTGAGAAGGGAAGTTATGGTGAGAAGCGTAAGAAGAGATCTAAACCTTTGATCACTTTTAATCTCATGTCCACCCATGAATTGCGCTTTAGAAGGGAATTGATCCGGTACATCTTCGTGCACCTCATCGGTGTTGACATTCCATTAGGATTAATCCAAGGGTGCAGATCTCTTCTTACGCTTCTCATTATAACTTTCCTTCTCACTGGAACCCAACCCTGCATGCATATATAGATAGAGTTGGTTTCCATTAAAAATATAGTCATCGTGAGAAGGATAAGAAGAGATCTCCACCCTTGAAAATCAATCTGAATTGAAGATCAATTGAAAATACCCTTCTAAGCTAATTCATGTGTTATTTTGGGACTTAATTTGAACCCTTAGATCAACGGCGAAGGATCGTTTGAGAAGGGAAGTTATGGTGAGAAGCGTAAGAAGAGATATGAACCCTTGATCTCTTTTAATCTCATGCCCATCCATGAATTGGGTTTTAGAAGGGAATTGATCCGGTGCACCTCATTAGTGTTGACATTCAATTAGGATTGATTCAAGGGTGTAGATCTCTTCTTACGCTTCTCACAAGAACCCAACCCTTAGATCAACGCTAATTAGAAGTGATCAAGCGTCCAAAAACCTTCTTACACTTCTCACCTTAACTCTTATTTTCAGACAATCCCTCGTCTACATAGATATGTGTGTATGTATACATACTCATAAAATATGTTCGTATATATACATATGTCTATATGATAGCTTGTCAATTTTGTTTTCTTTTTGAAAAATGAAAGTTTTTTTCTATTTCAAGTTTGTTTCAGCTCTTAGATTTGCTTTGCTTAAACAGATTTGGATAATGTTGAAATATAATAATATCTGAAAAATTGAATTCAGATTTGATTTTCCATTACCCTTGAAATCCAAATCCAATTTATGGGTATGAATGGATGGACCTATCTGAATTCAGATATCTCCATATTGACGACACTGACTCTTTTTTTGTTTCAGATAAAATCAAGCCTTCGGATGTAGGTCTGGAGCAGGAAGCACAATTAGTACGTAGCTGGACTGGTCCTGTTAATGAACGCAACGGTGCCAATCGATCTTTGCCACCAATTAAATATATTCATATTCATGAGTCTGATAGCTTCTCCGTAAGTTAAATTTTAAAAAGTTCACATTTTTATCATAAGAGTTATGGAAACAGCCTCTCTACCCTCTAGGTTAGAGGCAAGGTCTGCGTATATCCCTATCCTCCCCCCGTGCAGGTGCGGGACCCACCTCTGTGTGGGATATACTGGGTTTCTTTGGTTTATTTTTATCATAAAAAAGACCAAGTTCTCAATGCATTTCTTTTTGTTCTCTCCAGATGGGGATATTCTGCATGCCATCTTCCTCCATCATTCCCCTTCATAATCATCCTGGAATGACTGTGTTTAGCAAGCTTCTTTACGGATCAATGCATGTAAATGCGTATGATTGGGTCGATGAACCACCTTCGCCATCAGATGCATCCCAAGGTACCATCTTTCTCAACTATGTTTATGTTATTTGATTTGTAGTCGCATTCATCTCCTGGGGGTTCTTTTTTGTACTTTTTTAGGGGCAAGTTCATTTGAGAACGATTATTTTGAGACAACGTGAGAACCAACTATTCATGATGAATATCATGAATGAATATGCATGAATATTTATGTATATTCATTATGAATAAAAACGCCAATGCCCTTTTCACACTTTTTTCAAATACATACTCTTAACAAAAAAACTATTATAATCACATACTTATTCGTGCTAATAATCATGTTAATTACGTGAACTTTGTCTAGTTTTGGAATTGCCTAACATAAACTGTCAATGGCGTTTGAGGTGATTGATGTTTTCTTGTCAAATTGTTCTTTACTAGCATTCTTTTCTTCTAAATTGATCATTTATATTAGTTAATTTTGATTACAATTTGACGAAAATAAATAATATGATAGTGAGAGTATAAGTATATGATTTATATTTTGGTCTAGCGTTGGTAGGTAACGTCAACATACATCCTTCTCTCCCTAGACCCTACTCCATGTGGGACGGGGAGATCCACAGCCAGACTAGGGGGTTCAACCGCCCCCAGTCAAGCCTAAAAAAGATCTTCACCCAAAAAAAGTAAACTAATTTGTTATTTCCGATCCGTGCCAGGAAATTTCTCCCGAGTTCCACCCCCTTCACCAAAATTCCTGGATCCGCCACAAATGTGGGGTGCACTGGTTTGGTCTGGTTTTATATATTTAAAATTCAGAAGAGTAATTCTCTTACAGCCGCTATGCTCTATGTGGTGGAGTTCAGGTCAGGTCTGCCTACATTTCACCCCCTAGTAGAGATGGAAATTTTATCCGTAGGGGTGGGTATCCGTGGGTGCCCGACCCTAACGAGGCGGGGATTCCCTGCTTTGGCGGGTAATGGGGTAGGGACTGGAATTTATGTTCATACCCGAAGCGGGGTCGGGGATGGCATTATCCGCCTCTGATCCGACCCCAATTAATTTTTTTAATTTAATATATGTATATAGTGTGTGTATAAATAAATATATATGTATATATTTATTTTTATATTATAAATATATTTGATTTTTAGTATTGGTAATTAGTGTAGTGACGATTTATTAAAAATTTAATTTTCAAATACATTGTTTTTATTGTTTTTTACTAAACGGGTTCCCCGAAACCCGTCGGGAATTAGTAGGGTCAGAGTCGGAGACGGGGCTTAGATGGGGGTCGGGGTCGGGGGGATGCATTACCCGGCCCGTTTAATCCCTACCCCTCGACCTCACCTCCAAGCGGGATATACTACTCATTTGGTTTGATTTGGTTAAGAGTAATTCTCTTAAAAAAGTTCTTTTTTTCTTTTCTTTTCGAAGTATATAATATTTGTATACGGTAAATACTCACCACAGTCCTCATCTTTGGTGAGGTTTGAACCCTTGACCTCCTAGGAGACTCTTGTATCCTTGGTACCGCTAGGCCAATGACCCTAAATAACTGATCTCACACAAACAGTCAAAAATCTTGCAACTTTCTTGAAAGTGAGATGGTTTGTGATCAGCGTGTTCTAATCGACTTGTTTGTTCCGTTTCCTGATCAGCGAGACCTGCAAAGCTCGTTAAAGATGGTATAATGACCGCTCCCTGTGGGACGACCATTCTGCATCCAACCAAAGGAGGCAACATCCATTGTTTTGATGCCATAACTCCTTGTGCCATCTTTGACATCTTGTCACCACCTTACTCTTCTGAGGATGGGCGGCACTGCACTTATTTCCGGCGGTTAACTGACATAGATCCACCAGGTAAATCACCTTCATTTAGCTTCCAAATAACACAAGTTTAGAATCATATTTATTTTGAGAACCTTGGAACCAACTATTCATACCTTATTCACTATGAATGCCATGATAGATATTCATCATGAAAATACACGATACTCATGGTTATTCAGGGTTATTCATTATGAATAATAACATAAAAAGTTGGTTCTTAGGTTCTCATATATTTATGGTTCTCATTTGATTTTTGATTGACACGAGAGTCTCAAACCCCCTTGAAGGTACGATTGAAGTAGATGGCGAAATATGCTCCGAAGTTGCGTGGTTAGAAGAATTTCAACCGCCTGATGATTTTGTGATCCGGAGGGGTCGGTACAAAGGTCGTGTTATCAAGACTTGAAATTGTTTTTACCGGAACAAATTGAACATTCAAAAATTGGGCAGCATCTGAGGTGCAAAAATTGGATATGGTTTCTAAGATGCTATAGGACAATAATGTAATCCTATTGGTTATTATGCAGACTTTGCAAATCATATACAACATGATATAGTGTCCAGTTATTAATATCTCTGGTTCTCATTACTCTATTAATGCCTTGAGTTATGCTGCTTTTGATTCATTACTTGGGGGGTTTTCTCCACTTGGGTTTGCTACTTGCTTCTTGCAAGCACCTATTCTCAAAACCAGTCTTTTTGTTCTTACAGCGGTAAGGTCTGTATATATCTGTCTTCCTCCCTCTCTCTCTCTCTCTCTCTCTCTCTCTATATATATATATATATATATATATTCAATCTCTTAACTATATTTTAAAATTTCAATCACAGGCATATTCAGATGCGAGTAACTAATATGACATTCACAATAATACATAAAACTGACTCGTGCTCGACTAATAAACATGTTCAAAGACAAAGGCAATAATTGGTTCTTACTAATACGATAAATACTCCATAAATTGATAACCAACAGAAGATTCTTTCGCTATTGAGAGATAAGAAATAAAAATTGTATTGCATGAGTAAACTTCACGTATGTATGTATTACATTGTTGGAGAACTCATTAATTCGTGAGATCTTTGAAAACTTGTGTTGTTGTGCATTGTGTGTTATTTCATATGATCTTTTTCTTCCATTACTAGAATTCAATGTAGTGATTAACATATATTTGTTTCACATGTATATGAAACTTTTTGGCGTGTCTGTGAAACAAAAGGTACACGTAAAAAAGGTTTCATATCGTGAACCGAATACATATGAAACAAGCACATTGTAAAACAAAAATATGTTAATCAATACCACTGTTTGCCACCACTACCACTGCCCACCATGTCTACTACATCCACTACATCGGCCACAACTATCTTATCTTTGTCGACTGCCACTAGCATCTTTATGTCCTCCTCAATCACCACTACCATTACTAGTAGTCTAGTATTGTTGGCCACCACCACCATCACCATAACTACCACTGTCCACGACCATCACTGCCTCCACCATATCGGCCACAACTACCTACTCTACTGTTGTCGACCTCCACCACCACTATCCACCATTTTCACGTCATTCACAACCACTATCATCCACCAATCACCATTGTCTCTGCATTCACAATCATTGTTGTTACAACATTTGTCCTCTTGCCTTTGCCAATTCATGATGATCTTCCAAACCAATTAAAACATAATTTTTTTTGTACTGATCGAATTATTTTAAACTATCATCAATTATATTAAATTTTTCATTCAGATTTTGTACTATTATATATGTATGTGTTTATGTATATGAAAATTGTATAATAATGTTTAGAAATTAAATTATTAAATTATTTACTTTATTTGTGTCAATTATAACTATATATGATATATATATATATTTATTTATTTGTGTGTGTGTGTGTTAACATTAATGTAATTATGATTCCCTTAGCAAAAAGAAATGATTTATAAACGGGTTGCGGTTGAGTAACATAAATGAGAGGTGGGGCGAGATCTGTAACAATTAAAACAAACACAGCTGAAACCGCAGGCAATCTCTCTCTAAATACCTCCCATGCCATGGATGTCATAATCAAACACATGATCCGAAGTAAGTGACCATAAAAAGGTGAAGTCAACCTACACACCGCACTCCAGTTCACCACCAAAATTTCTACTCATCTTCCTAATTACTCTACACTTCTATTGCTTAATTCATTCAGATTATACTCTGTTTATTAATCACCCGCATGATTCATTCGTTTCTTCTTCTCTTCCCTCCATCATCACCTCTTCATTCAGCCATATACATCGCTTCAGCCTTCAAGATCATCCTCCCCAATTTAAGGTATTTATTTCTTATATGAACGATAACTTCTGGGGTTTGATTGATTATTGGTTTTGTTTTATTTGGAGGAGAAAGTTTTAAGGGATTCAAGAAGCTCTTATCATGTCTGAAAAGGGTTTTGTAGTTCTTGATTTTTGAAGCTCAAATCAACATGGTATATTGATTGGGAAGATTTTTGCTAATTACATGCATCAGTGGATATGGGTATTTTGGTTGATGATTGCTTGTTACGAATGATAATTGTTTGAATAGCAAATTAATATGGAGATCATAAGATTTAGGGTTTATCCCCTCAAACCCAAAAAATAGCAAAAATGGACCATGGCTGGAAATGAAGTGCTCCAGTTTCAAGATTCTTGAATCCCAGATGTTCTTGATACTTCTGAAAGAAGTTGTTTACTGCTTTTATCTTTTCTTCAATGCTTTGAAAGATTTTTGTATTAGTTTCAAGATTTATGATGGTTATCTAGACATTGAGTTACTGCTTAGAATTAAATGTATCCATGATCTTTATGCAGCAAATTCTGGTTTCAAATTGCTTCCAATTCTGATGGAGGACAAGCAATTGAACATTAATCAGCCACTTCTGTCTGTGAGGCGGTTTTCGTCAATAACTGCATCAAAGAAGAATGAAAGTAGAAGAACCAGAATTTACCATCCAACTATGCGTGTCGTTGAATCTTGTAAAACAGAATTGAACTCGAAACCGATGAAGAACACGGGAAGTGTTCCTTTTGGGTGGGAACACAGTCCAGGAAGACCGAAGGATGAAACAGATAAACAAATTCAAACGGAAGAAAACCCTCCGAGTCTTCCAAAGCTTCCTCCAGGTTGGGATTTGAAACCAAAAAGGAAAGATTCAGATAACATAACTGAAGAATTTATTACTGAATATGGAAGTGCAAAATCAGCAAAGAAAGAAAGTTCTGAATCTGGGAATGATGATGATGATGATGATACGGATGAAGCATTTATGGATGCACTTGATACACTTTCTCGGGGTGAATCATCTTTCTATAATTGTAGTGCAAGTGGTGTAAGCGGACTTGAATCAGCCGTTAAACCATCTGGGATTCTTTCAGCAGATCCAAAGATTCGCAATTTCATGATGGGTCGTTTTCTACCAGCTGCAAAAGCCATGGCTTCAGAAATACCACAAAATATTTACAGAAAGAACGTTGTGAAGGAGAAGCCACTAGAGGTGAAGAAAATAGCGAATATGGACAACAAGAAGGTGCAGCTTAGATACGGGCCTAACTTTTTGCAGGATATCGGTCAAAATAATGAAGAGGAAGATAGTGATTATGATTACGATGAACATGGAAATATATCATCTAAACTTTGCGGATTTCTTCCACGTTTTTGCTTAAAAGGTTCCGTTGGTCATGTAAATCCAGTTTCAGGAACTCGGACAGCAAATAGGACACATGCTACTAGCTCTTCTTCTATTAGTTCTTTTAGCGAAACTGAGAATGAGGTATTTATTTGGATTTTTTTCTTTGATGTTTCAGTTTCTATTTAACTACAAAGGGTTGTTTACCTTTTTTTCATTAAACCATGTATGGTTAAGTTGTGTCTGGATAAATTTGTCTGTCCAACAGCCCAGGGACGGGAGACAAATGGGTTTGAAGGGGGGCAAAGAGAGAGGATGGGGTTATTTTTGGGGGCATTTCTGGTATTAATTTGCGTAAGGTGGCTTAATGGGAACAAATGAGGGGTCTTGGCTTATTCCATAAAGCCATTTTGGCTTAATGGCTTAACGATTAAGCCATAAAAGAAAACGTTTATGTATGGCTGAACGAATCAGCTGTCCAAACCATTATGCTCATTAAGCTGCAAGTAAACAGCCCCTAATTGTTGCTAATTAAGTGTTTCAATCTTCTAATCTTAGCCTGCGAGGATTGCTGTATATGAGCATAGATCATTCGACAGATCTTCTGTTCCTGAAACCACGAACCAGAATATCTACAACCGTTTGCAGGGATGTGAGATTTCTAACATAGGGTCTCAATCTTCTGTTCCTGAAAGAAACAATTCAAGCACACAGAAGCAACGCGCAACTAGCTTTAAGGAATTACTAGCTGACGAGAAGAACAAGAATGAAACAGATGGCCAAGATGTCTTGATTGAAAAGACCCTTTATGTGGATACTGTGCACATGATCAGATCTCCAAAAGAGCAATCCAAGTTCAAAGCAGATGATACAGATATGGTTGCAGATGATGAACCGAAAGATGATATGAAAATGGAAACACATATGGATCAAGATCCTGAAGAATGGATTGACGATAAAAATGGTTATCACGATTCGAAAGGCTCTCAAGATGGCGTTTTCGAGCTCCCTGCTCCTCCTCCACTGCCAAAATCACCATCAGACTCGTGGCTTTGGCGTACGTTGCCTTCTGTGTCGTCCAAAAACACAGCTATCCGGTGGAATCCTAAATACCCGTCCTCCAACGCTCAGATAGGACATTCAGAGGTAAACGGATTGATTTCTTTCGACTGATTTGTATATCAAGTGGCCTAGTGAGTTCAATGATCATCATATTTGTCTTGTATTTTCTCAGGGACCATTGCTTCCTATACCAGAAAGGTAGCTTGGAGGGTTTGCTGTTTGAAGTCTTGCTTTTGTGCATATATGTTCTTCATTTTGGCTGGGAAGTTCATCAGATCAAATGACTTTGTGATCATAAAAATGGGATTTTTTTTTTTCTTTTTTTCTTTTTTCTTTTAGTGGGTTGATAGGTTTAGTTTTGTTTTTGGTGGGCATATCATTTTTTCACTTTGTAATTAAAAGGTGAAGAAGAATAAACAAGTGTTCATTGTAGAGCTTCAAAATAAGATGGGAGTTTTGAGGGGTTTTTTACTTAATATTTATTTATTATTAACATATTTTATAATTTCCTTTTATCATTTTAAAATACTTTTGAAAAATCTATAAATATTTAGGAGCCGATTGCCAAAAGTTTCGCCGAATAAACGTTTACCAAGTCAGATTACCTTACTGGATGAATATGATAAGGACCAAAAATCTTACCCAGTAAGAGGGAGACAAGGACCACGAGTCTTACCCGGTAAGTGAGGGGAACGACTCTTACCATGGTAAGTGCTTACCGGGTAAATTGTTGCATACGATGTCGTTTTGGTGGATTAAAGTCTTACCCGGTAAGTAAGTGGTAGTGTTAAATTTTGCCGGTAAGCGCTTACCGTGTAAGTGTTTGATAAACGGCCCCTTAATCTCATTGGTAGAAATAACGTATCTATTTTCTTAATATTAAAAGCATCTCCAACGACTATGCTAAAATACAAAAATTAGAATTTTGAAAGATATTTTTGCTCTAACCGCTATGCTATAGTATATGCTAAAAATGGTGAAAATCCTTAAATTTGGAGAAATCTCTAACACTGTGTTTTCGAAACTTTTTTTACAGAGGAAAAAAAAGGAGGAAAGTAAAAAGCTCGTGTTCTTGAAACATTTTTAAAAGATAAGAGAAGGGAAACATAAGGAAAATAATGATAAATTTCTTCTTAAATATGGAAGAAAAGTAAAAAAAAATAAAACTCTTTAAAAGATTATTAGAATTACAAAACTACCCAATCTTTCATTCTAAAATATATGTTTTTATAGGATATATTGGTAAAATGACAACTTTCCTTTTCTTTCTCGAACGTTCTAAGAACGTGAAAAAATATTTTATTTCTTTTTATTTCCTTCAAATAAAAAAATTTATTTTGTTTTTCTTTATTTTCCCTCTTTCTTATCCATTTCTTTTCTTTGAATAGAGCGTATTGTTAGAGAGAATTAATATTAAAGACATTGAAATCAATTGTTTAGGAGAAATAAACAATGTTTTATTAAATTTGTCGAATATTTTAATATTATAATTAACGTTATACGTGATTTGATTAGTAATATTTTAGTTTTTGTCTTATTTTTATCTCATATTGTTCCATCTATTTTGATGGAACAAGAAAGATTTTTTTTTGTCCCACGTTGTCCCGGTTATTGTATTTGTCTCATGTTGTACCAAACATGAGACATCGAGTTTTTGTTTTGTCTAATGTCATATCATTCAGGCTGCGTATGGTACATGGGACAAGACAGGACAAAATGGGACAAAACTCACTATCCTCTGTTTGGCGCAGCATGGGACAGAACAAGAATTCATTGTCCCACGTTTGGCGTGACATAGGATAGGAACAAGAACTGGGACAAGATGAGACAAAAGAGGTTTTTTCTTGTTCCTCCAATGGGACAAGAATGAGAGGAAAACTAAAATATTACTAATTTACCCTAGTTTGATATATATAACCTCAATATGATATTTGTTTTAATGGTCATCACCGTTAGTTTGGGTCGCCACCACCGGCGGCCACCTCCACCTCTTCTTCCACTACAACATCTTTCACCGCCTCCACAACCACCGTCCACCATCATCCATCGCCACCTCTACCATGGTCGACCACCACACCGTTGTTTGCCACCTCCAACTCCTCCTCTACTACAACAACCTCCTTCATCACCATCAGCCATTGACTACCACCGTCCATTGCCACCTTTACAACCACCATCAGCCACCAATTACCACCAACACTACCATTGTTGGCCACCTCCAACTCCCCTTATCCCGTAACAACCTCCTCCACAACCACCATTGTCCATTGCCACGTCTACAGACCACCACCATCCATTACTACCACCACCACCACTGTTGGCCACCTCTAACTCCTCTACTGTAGCATCCTCCTCCATGACCTCCACAACCACCGTCGATCACCGACCACCACCGTCCATTGCCACCTCACCTCCACCATAACCACCACCCACCATTATCTTTACTACATCAGACACAAATTTGTTGTCAACCGCCACCACAATCCACCATCTTCACGTCCTATAGAACCACCGTCGACCACCGTCCACCGACATTACTACCGTCGGCCACCACAACTATTACTACAATCAATTATATCAAATATGGTACCATTATATATGTATGTATTCATCTATATGAAATTTAGGTAAAAAAAAATTATAAATTAAATTCTTTAAATAATTTACTCTATTTGTGTTAATTATAACTATTCAATAATATTTAAAATCATCAAATAACTTTTTGGATAATTTGTCTAGTTTTATCTTGTCCAGTCCTAATCATAGCAAACACCATACATACACTTGTTCTGTCTAATTCAGTCTCGTCCAATCCTACTCTATTATATTGTCCAATCATGTTTGCTTACCAAAGAATACGTGATCTAACAATGAGGTTTATTTGGTCATGTAATGTCATCTATCAAACACAAGTATCAAAATCTCATTTATGCATTTTTGAAATTCTGTGCCAAGATTTATGATGGGGACCCTTGTGTTTCTAAAGAATCCCATTTAACCCCTGTACTTTCTCTGGCAGATAATCAGTAGTACCCTAAACTAGACTAGAGGAAACCGTTTCGGTGAAGGAGGCCAATTTCTCCAATAACTTTACTCTTCGCTTTCTTGGGGGTTGCGCAGACGATGGAAGGGATGTCTAGGTCACCACCGGCCGGGAGTTACAGTAACGGTCACCACCACAAGCAGCAAGGCGGCGGCACCACCACACAAAGGGATCATTTCAGGTCCAGGAAGTCCCGTCAGACCGGTGGTAGGGTTCCCAGTGGGCAGCAGGAGACGGAGGCGCCTCCTTGTACGGATTTTGATAAGGCTTACTTTCAATCGTACTCCCACGTCGGTATTCACGAAGAGATGATCAAGGTATCAGCCTGCATTGTTGATTTTTATGTGTTGCTGTTATCGTTTTGGTGTACTATACGATATCGAAACTTCTTTAGAGTTCCATATCTCTATTTCGTTATACATGGCCTCTGGCACATTTGGGGCACTTTTGGCCTAACGGGGAAACGGCTCTTTCACATTAGACAAATTTCTGACATTCCACTTTGGTGAACCTTGGGGTTGCCTATCCCCAACTACGTTACCATGAACCCGTATTCAGTTATTTGAAAAAAAAAATCCACCTTTTGTATCTGAAGCTATTGCTTGCTGTAGCGGGTTGCCCTCAAAGTTTCTATGTTCGGATTGCTAGAATTTTCTGGTGATCAAATGTAACAGTGTTGATGGGCTAGTTTGCCACTCCATCAGGCTATAAATCTGTTCTACCTGTTTCAGGTTCCCAAGACTCCATCTAACAGTGTTGTGGATGAAACTGGATGTTGTTCGACATGGTTTTGGTACTTGATTGCTAGTGGCTTCTGGTGGAACACATTTTATATGAATGTTAAGCTCGGTGCTAGTTTATGTTTGCTTCTTTCATGATGTGGACCGTGATGAAAATATTATCCTCACTTATGGAGTTGTTAAGCACAACTCGAGGCTGATGAAAACTTCCTGTTTTATTTTATTTTTGTAGGACTTGAATTAACTTTGTAGGAGTGGGAATTTCAGCATGTCACTACAGTTGGTTTTATTTAGTTTGGTTATGTAGACCATACAATTTCATTTATGATTCTTCAAGCAATAATTAATCTTGCCAACGAGTCTCACCCTCCGTTGTTTACTTTATCTTCATTCTTGTGGTTCCACTTGGTCTTTATACTGTAGGCTCATTGTTTTAGTTCTGCAGGATCGTGTGCGGACAGAAACTTACAGGACAGCCATTTTACAACATCAGAGACATATTGAAGGCAAAGTAAGAACAGCTGAGGTTTCTATTATATAAACATTTATTGCTTATAATATTGAGTCCTTAATGAACAATTTAAACTATTCAAAGAACGTATCAATTTGCAGATTATATATAGGACTTCCTTTAGTAGGGTTTCTTTTAACTAAACAGTATGGTGCATGTTAGAGACGTATGATAAGTATGTAACTCTGTTCTGTATGATGTTGCTTAAGGTTTTATGTTATTGGCCATTGGCAATTTTGTACTCTATTCCTGGTTTAGTGATGATGCAGACATACTTCTGTAGAACCTTACTCTTAACAGTATCCTGGGCTTTTGAGAGCCATGAAAAACCTACTCAACGTAATCAACCCCCAAGAGTCATCCCATCCCTGGCAGGTACAGCATTCAGCTGCACTTGCTATCAAAAAACAGTGACTTGTCATTCACGTAAGTGACCAGCATGACTAACATGATGACTGATTTTTACCACTGTCATCATCTGATGCTGTCACTAGCTACACGTCTGGTTTTGCACTCATCTGGTGTGATTAATCTATTGTGTGGATGGTTGGTGTTGAGCTGCAAAGCTGAATCCCTGAAACAACATCCCATCACCCTGGTTCTAAGTAACCAGGCAATAACTTGTACATTTTCAGGTTTTAGAGGACCAAGTAGTCCTTTTCTATTTTTGTTGTACTTCTGGTGGATTGTGTAACTTTTCTTGTGTGGGCAGAGGCTGAGGGTTGTTGATTGATGGTTCATGGTTTGATGCCTTGATTGTTTTGGGCATTATCCATTTGATCTTGAGTTGGAATTTGATGGACTTATTGACTTTCTGCTTTAACCACTTTGTCTTGTTTGGCTTTCTTGTTTGACGTTTTATGTTTGACATTTCATACAACATTTAGTTACGAGGAAAGGTAAGGGTTTGATAAAACTTCTGTTTTGTCCTTAGCTATTGCTAAAATGCTGTTTTGACCCTTAATGTTTTTTAGTTTAGCCTCTATGGTCAAGTATTTTTTTTTCTTGCCCTAAGATATGTTATTTCGTTTTAGGTCTTTTAGTTTGCTGCCTCCTTTTTTAAAATTGATTCATTTTTGTGCGTGTTATTATGATCCCTCTTAGAGATTCTAGGAAGGGAGCAGTTTGCTTTCTTCATGGTGTTGGCAATGGATATTGTGACTACTGATGAAGGGGTATATGAATGATTTACATGTTTAATTAGCAAGACACATATTCCTTGTCCCATTAAGAAATTCAATTTTGATCGGTTGATGAATTCACAGACTAGTTAGCTGATGCATATTACCTGCACCATTTTGAAATTCAATGTTTTGAGGAGGAGCTCAGCTTGATCCATACTTTGTGTTTCTCTCATGAGCAGTCTGTTTCACATACTACCATTGGACATTTATGTAATCTTATGACCTGTTTGTGTGTGTGTTATTGGAATATTGATTCGTGTTCATTAGATCTTATGACCTGCAATAGAAATTATTATCCATAGATACTCATCTATGCAACTCATGCCAAAATAGCCAATGGTTCTTATATTCTGGTTGAAGACATGGGATAGTGAACAGAAACTTCAACTAAAATATTTCTGTCTTACATATGCCTACCTCTTTTTGGCAAACCTTAGTCCATTAGTAACATAACTAAGCATATGTATTGCTGTATCCTTTCTTACATGTGGTGTTCTAAAATGGTCATGAGTCATGATGTTTTAAGCAATAAGAGTAGGCCAGACAGGTGTGGTCTGTACTAACTAGATGTTTTTCTTTTCTGTTACATATCAGGGTAGCATTTAGGAGATGCACAATCCCTTGGGTAATTTTTTTCTTGTGAATTTAAAGAAATTCCAACCATAATTGAATGCATTTCCGGTTTACATATGAAACCTGTCAAACACGTAAATTCATTCTTGGTTCTTCTCATCTTGCCATGATGAGTACTTTTTGAAATAACTTTTGGGAACCCCGCATGTCAAGCCTATTGACGGTTCTAAAAAAGCATTTTTTTTGGCTTTTATTGATGACTTTTCTGGAATCACTTGCTGAAATATTCTTGATATTGATAATTTGGGTGTATATGTTAGAAGTTACGTAGGATTCAAAACCCCTTCATAGTGGATTAATGGCAGTGGCGGATCTAGGAATTCGGTGACCGGGGTCAAACTCAAACTTAAGAGTCTCGAAAAATTTGTGTGGGTTCTTTAAGCATAAACCAAGCCATATGTTAAGGGTAAAATTATTTTTAAACCAAATCTTGAGTTCTTTAACCTTTGACCGGGGTCAAGAGACCCCATTAGCATACATGTGGGGCTCCGCCACTGATTAGTGGTGATCCAGGGGACTCTTTTTCTTAAGACTTCAAGATACTTAGGAATATAGAATGGTCATAGAAATACGCGAACCTCTTGAAAACCCTGCTATTTAAGAATATATCAATATACTGATATGCTTTTCTAGAACCAACTTTTTTTCAGTACAAGTTTACCACACAAAGGTATTCAGGTGCTAGGTGTGGTCTTCTGTAATGCATGATTATATTTGTGTAGTGGGTTTTATATCAGCATTTTCGACTAATTGTGAGTACTATATTGCTTCAAGTGAAAGATTAAAAAGCCATACTCTCAATGAGTAAAAAGGAAGCAACCTGATACATGAATCTTGCAGCGGATAAATCTGTTCTGGTGGTTATCTACAATCTACATGGAAAATATCTTTTGTGCTCATGTCATGTCAATTTTTGTTAACCATAGTATGGATGCAGAAGCAGTCCAGAATTTTGTTTGTCTTTAACATTGATTCGAAGGCAGTCTTATTTTTCAGTTTCTTTTGTTTTTTTCTAACTCATAATATTGATTGCAATAACTTGTATCATAGGTTGTTGTAGATGTTGGTTGCGGCACAGGCATCCTCTCAATATTTTGTGCTCAGGCAGGCGCAAAGCGAGTAAGATTATTAAGCAATACATAATGATTTGAAGTGTGATTTATGTTTGCACCATGTATTTCAGCTTTATAGATTGGCACTGTAACTTTCTAAGAATTCAGAACTTAAATCAACTTTCTGTCTGTTCGGAAACTTTAGTTCTTGAAATGATGTCTAGAAAAGGAATGAGAATGCACGGAGAGAGGGTGAATTTCTGTTATATCAATATGATGAATATATAAAACTAATTTGGTTTTAATTTGTTTAACATCGTGTACCTGTTCTAACTTTATTTTTACCAGGTTTATGCAGTGGATGCCAGTGAGATAGCTTTGCAGGTATGTTTTGCAATTTCTGGCAATTTGGTCTATTCTGCTTTGTTGAGGTTTTACAGTCGGTATTTATCTCGGGTGGTATACATTTCCCTGCCCTATTCAGAAAGTTTTATCTGTTAAAGAGTTGCTAGCTTTTGCGTTGACCATCACATCGGACTCCTGGGGTTAAGTTTGGTTCCATTATTGTTCGATTCATTGTGCGGTGAGCTTTGAGATATGAGAAGGATATTTGAAAACTTGCACTTTGTAATACTTCTAGGTAGAAATTGCTGTCTGAAATGGCTTGGCTACATTGAAATTCATTGTTTTATCTGGGAAATTTATAATTCTTAATGCTAAATTTGAGAAGTTTTGTTTAATATGAATCCATGGGAAAACTGATCATGAACCTCAATATCTCTTTTGGTCCCTTGGCTTTGTAGATCACTTCCTTCATTAAACTCAACATTATTTTGCACCAATATTTTTCTTATCTGCAACCATTCCTTTTTATCCTGTTGCCATGCTGCTGTAGTACATGTCATCAGTTGAACTTGAAGTACTGAGAACAATTCCCGGTTCTATTTCTTTGAATAAAATAGAATGGGAGGATGCGAGGAAAATTAATAGAATGCTCGTTCTCAATATTAGCAACGTATGAGTCTTATAGAAGGCTCATCGGGTTACTTTTTGTTTCTGGTTTCTAGGCTACCAATATTTCTCGGAGGATGATCGGGCACATGGGCTGATAGAGATCTATTATACAGTAATTAACATGTGTACACCTGCAAGGACCACAACATACTAAACATATTTAAAATTGACTTCAGCAGTTTTTTATTGGAAAAGCTTGTTTGCACATCTTGAGAGTTGAGACCCTCATTCTGTTGAGTTAATCTTTGATTCTTTTGATTTGCAATTTGCAAATGTTTTGACCAAAGTCTCTTCAAAATGTTTGAGATTGATCTATTTGTGACAAATTGAGCAGATTCAATATTTTCTCTTTTCCTCAATTCTCTGCCCACAGGCTCATGACATTCTTCTAGCTGTGGAACGTTGTGGCAATGCAGTGCTAGTTAGATATTCTTTAGCATTCAACACACTATTTAGTTTACTTTATCTTTTCCAGAATTCACTCTGACAGTTTAGGATGTCAGTATTTCTTTGCTCATTGGTGGAGCACCTTTGATGTCTCTGTATGGAATTGGTAATGGGTGTGTATATTATCTATGTCTATGTATATATAGATAAGTACAATGCATTTATAAGTACATACATATATAGATATACGCATATACATACAAATATGCTCTATGTCATACTAGGATTGTTAATTCTACATCTTTGCTAAAACCATAAAAATTTATCTGCTAATGACTTTCCATGATATTTGATCCATTCAGAAAAGGAAGGTCTTAAATCTAATGTTGTTTTGTTGGAATTTGGAACCAGGCAAATGAAGTTGTCAAGGCAAATAACCTCTCTGACAAAGTCATTGTTTTACATGGACGTGTTGAGGTAGAATTTCATAAACAACACATATTGGCTCTGTACTTAAAGTGTGATATTCTTTATTCTTTCTGGAGAGTGTTGTTTAATTTCATAGAATGTATTTTCCAAATAATTTTTTAAGTTCCCATCGGTACTTTGAAAGGTGAAAAAATAGTTCATGGGAACTGAAACGAAAATGTGAGGATGAATCGTCATGTCATTTAATAACATTCTGTTGTCCATATACAGGATGTTCAAATTGATGAAGAGGTTGATGTTATAATTTCGGAGTGGATGGGTTATATGCTTCTCTATGAGGTAAGCGCTTGATTTTTTAATGTATTTCCCTTCTGAAGATTCAGATTGGTATCAAGTTTTTGGTTGTACTTGATATCTAATATACTGTTCTGCTTGTTGCTTATATTTTAGAGCATGCTGGGGAGTGTTATTGTTGCCAGAGACCGCTGGTTAAGACCTGGCGGTCTCATTCTTCCTTCAAATGCCGTGGTATACCTTCTTCTCATTTGTCTTTTTACTGTTGAAATTTACAACAATTAGCAGAGTTAGGGCCTGTTTGTTAGCAGCTTAATGAGCTTAATGGTACTCACAGCATATTCGGTTAGCTATACATGACTGTTTGGTAGTGGTTTAATGTTATAGAAAGTGGCTTATTCAGTAAGCTTCTAGAGGAGAGTTTTATGCAGAAAGCCAAGTTTTTTTTTCCAAAACTTGCCCCTCCCAATTAAAAAACACGCTCGTTCCATCTATGAAAAAACCCTTCCAAACAAAAAACTCAATCTATACAGGCTGATTAATCGACACAGACAGCTTTATCCATACAGGACTTAATGGAAAATCAACCAAAACAGCCCCTTAATGCTTTTCACAGGACTCTCTCTTTCTCTCTGCCCATAACTCATGGGATATGCTGCTCTGAAGTGATGATGAGAAACAATAACTGGCTTACTAATTGATCTTAGTTGATGAGTAACAGCAATTGACATGATAGAACTTCGATGGAATCTGATTTTCTACCTTGATATTTCATTTTCTTAATGTTTTTAATTATTTTTCTTTATATCTCCTGCAGCTGTACATGGCCCCTGTTACACATCCTGACAGATATGCTGAAAGTATTGATTTCTGGCGCAATGTGTATGGGATTGACAGTGAGTACATGTCAGATGCATTCAGATGTTGCTTTTATATACTGTATAATGTACTTTGGAGGGGTATGCAAGCTAATTAAAATTAATGTGATTTAAGGTAACGGCATAACCAATAATATTCTCTAAAAGCAGCAAAACTTTCTTAGCGGCTATAAACTTTCTCTTGCTTTCAGTTGTGATACCTGTTGCCTCTTGTCGAATCTCTTATGTGTAAGAGCATAATTGTATGCTATATCTTTTGAATATTCATCCCCCCAAGGGGGTTATTTTTTGCATATTACATAACAGATCAGTGTAGTTATTGAATCTATGGGGACATTGGCTTCGAACATCTTCTATATTGTATGTGTGATTTGGATTTTGGTTTATTGCAGTGTCTCCAATTTTGCCATTGGCAAAACAGTGTGCCTTTGAAGAGCCATCTGTGGAGACGATCAGTGGAGAAAATGTTCTCACGTGGCCACATGTGGTTAGTTTCCTGTCATAAGTTCACCAAGTTTGGTTTGTTTGCTTAGAGCAAGTGACTTGGGATTAAAGCCTTTGTGCAAGGGTGGTTTCTCATGCGCTAAGGTCATTTGCTTGGTTCTAGGGACCATGAATGATCCCTCGTTTAGATTGTTTTCCTAAGGAAGCTCCATTCACATGAAAATTTTGGAATAGCTTCAAATGGAACTTTGCCTAGAATGAAATAGTAGCAAAAGTTATCCGGAGTCCGTGTGTTTATCCTCATGCTTGACAATTGAAAGTTTTTGAGCTTCTTTTGGCCCTTGGTGAAGGTTCAAGATTTATTTTTTCATCACTTGAATATCTTCAAGCTGTTTTGTGTTATACGCTCTATCTTTGCACGAGTCTTTTGATCTGTCATCATTCTTTGTTTGGATCTTTATTGTGCACTATCAGATTATATTGTTTATCTGATGAAAGTTCTTGTTGCTGGAAACAGGTCAAGCATGTGGATTGCTATACAATCAGAATTCAGGAGTTAGAATCTGTTACAACAAAATACAAGTTTCAATCTATGATGCGAGGTAAAGAGTCTTATTCATGTCAAGATTTATATGATCCACCCAACATACAACTGAGTCATTTCTAACCGTAAAATGAAGGGGGAGAATAGAGAAGTACAGACCTTTTAGGAAATTTTGCTCGAAAATGGAGGGTGTCACATTAATCATATAACTAGTTTTAACAATTGTACCTCTCAAAATGTGTAATTAGATAAATCAATAGTATGCTCGTTTTTTTTCTTCATATGACAATGCCGCTCTAGTGTGCATATATACAAGAGTTGTTCGTGTAGTATATCATTAGTACTGTCTATAAAATTGATAAAAACATGTGGAAATTTTCTTTTCATCATCACCGCAAGGGGTCCCAATCGACAGACTACATTCATGTTCAGCATAAGTTGTAAAGATTTATTTTAGTAGCTGAATTTAGGCATCCAACTGGTGTATCCCATTACTCATGACTCGTTAATCCTCTTTGATTTCAGCTCCTTTTCATGGGTTTGCATTTTGGTTTGATGTTGAGTTTAGTGGACCCGCTAACAATGATGCACCATCCGCGGTTGAGGAGTCCCCGGAAACAACGGCTTCTGTTAGTCATCGAAGGAAGCGGGCTAATCCCGATGAAGCACTTGTTCTCTCCACTGCACCTGAGGATCCACCGACACATTGGCAACAGGTAGATTGTTGTATTTGGTTTATGTTTTGTTATCTTTGTATTAATTATTACTTTCTTCTTTTTGGCAGACGATGATATACTTCTATGATCCAATAGATGTTGAGCAGGATCAGGTTATTGAAGGCTCCGTTACATTAACACAAAGCAAAGAAAACGCTCGGTTCATGAACATTCATCTTGAATATGCGTGAGTTACTGGCTGTGAATAGTTTCAATTTTCAGTATAGTAAAATCAGCTGTATAGGATGCCAAATATGTCTGCATGTCCTAATAGATTGCATTATATAACAAGTTATTGGACCAAACAGTTATACGTCCTATGTGAATGTGTTATAATAAGTTGGTCGAACGTGTTTGGGAGTCATAACAAGTTTTTAAGCACACTTTTGGAAGGAAAAAAACGTCCTATTAGTCTTTTTAAATGTCTTATAAGAAGAAATGTCCTATAAAAAGCTAATAGTACACTATTTCAAAAGTGTGTTAATAAACTTATTAGGATGCCCAAATATGTCTAAACATCCTATCGTAACACTTTTTACATAGAACACAATTGTTTGGTCCTATAAGCTTAAATCATATAAAACAGTCTATTATGTGGCGTCTATAGAACCCATTCTGTTGTAGTGTTCCAAGAACGAAAAGCCTTGATTTTTGCTAGTGTAACCAATTCTTGCTTTGACCCTGCCTCTTGCAGCTCGGGTGGCCGTTCCTTTGTAAAAGAATGCGTGTTACGTTGATTTTGTCAGAATCGAGATTGTAGTTTCACTTTTCGGCTGCTGAAAGCTTCGGATGGTCTAACAGGTTTTGGGGCTTCGTTGCTTTTCACCATGAAGCCTTGAAAGAATAGTCTGTGTTTGTGTGTTTGTAGGTAGGTAGAAATGTAGGCGCGATCTTGTATGGATTTCATGTCGATCTGCTGATTTAGCTTTTTCGACATGAGATGGTTTTTCTGGTGATGTAGGGTTTAAGCTGCACTTTTTTATATGGCATAACTGTAAAAGACCAAAGGGGTACATGTTGACATCTCTATCTATTATTTCATACATTATTGAGGCAAAGAATTTTTACATATTATTTTCTTGAGAGATTTGTCATTGTAATGCACAACCACATGTTTTTTTTATACACGTGCATGTAGATTGTAGAATAAGAAGTTTCATAACCAATTATTCATAATGAATATGTCACCAGTTATTTATAGTGAATGTGTGTAAATAAGAACCATTATAACTGATTATTCATAATGAATATGTGTAAATAAGAACAGTGATAACCAATTATTCATAATAAATATGTGATTATACATGAATGTTATCAATCATCAATATTTGTCATGATCGAGAAATTATTAGAAATTACCATTTTTTAAGTTTTGGATTCATCTATTGGTCAATTCTCTCCCCAAATTTTAAAATATCACTAGTGCTCAAAATACCGACCAACCTAACCCGAAAAAACCTAAAAAAAACTCAACCCAAGGTAACCTGACATATAGTTGATATAAAATTAGGTGAAACTGTATCTATTGGATTAGAAATGGGTTAGGGTAATTTGAATCCAACCCAACCCAATAAACTCAATGTCTTTCTATGTAATGAATTTAATATGATTGTTAACTTATTAATCGGTACATGTATAGTAGGCATTAGACCAACTCGTAGTTAGCTATAATCAAATTTATATTACAACTTCAATCGTAATTTTACTTTCTTATTCACATGAACCTTCTACTCTCTTTTTTTGACATTGTTAACCTTTTTTGTATGTTCTTATTTTTATTTTACTTTTTTTAAACACAAACAATTAGCTAGATTATAAAAAGGAAAAGTACAATAAAAACCAATGAACTTTCTTGTTTGGAATGATTAAGTCCTTGAACTTTTTTTTGGAACAAATAAGTCCTTGAACATTCCAAAACATGTTAAATAAGTCCTTGAACATTCCAAAATATGTTAAATAAGTCCTTGGACAATTTTTGGAACAAATAAGTCCTTGGACATTCCAAAAAATGTTAAATAAGTCCTTGGACAATTTTTGGAACAAATAAGTCATTGGACATTCCAAAAAATGTTAAATAAGTCCTTGGACAATTTTTGGAACAAATAAGTCCTTGAACAATCCAAAACATATTAATATAAAACATGTTGGATACATTCTTATGACTTGTACAACTAGTTAAAGTGAGAAAAAAATCCGGAAAAAACCTCAATGAACATTCATATTTTGAATGATAAAGTGGTAAAATAGTGAAAAAATCCGGAAATATATTTTGTCAGTGATTTTTTAAACTAAAAAAATAAAAAAAATTATAAAATATATTATTTTTAATTAAAATAAATTTCACCAGTAATCTTTTTAAATCTTTTTTTAATTTAAAAAATCACATACATGATATATATATTTTTAATTAAAATAAATTTAATAATAATTATTTTTTTTGTTTGAAAAATCACCGACAGAATATATTTTAATTTTAATTAAAATAAACTTTATCAAAATCTTTTTTAAATGTAATTATTTTTTTGTAAATGTAAGTACTTTTTTGTTATATTTGTTTAATTTTATAGATCTAAATAYTTTTTBGTTCAAAAAATATTTAGGGGCTTAATCGTTCAAAATATGAATGTTCATTGGGTTTTTTTTCACTATTTTACCACTTTAACTAGTTTTACAAGTCATAAGAATGTATCCAACATGTTTTATAAAAGTTCAAGAAGTTATTTAACATGTTTTGGATTGTTCAAGGACTTATTTGTTTCAAAAATTGTTCAAGGACTTATTTAACATTTTTTAGAATGTTCAATGACTTATTTAACATATTTTGGAATGTACAAGGACTTATTTGTTCCAAAAAATTGTCCAAGGACTTATTTAACATGTTTTGGAAWGTTCAAGGACTTATTTGTTCCAAAAAAAAGTTCAAGGACTTAATCATTCCAAACAAGAAAGTTCATTGGTTTTTATTGTACTTTTCCCATTATAAAATGATATACCAAAGTTTCAACCTATCAACCCAACCCGTACGGTTTGGGTGAGGTTGGGTTGAAATTTCTCAACCGCAAACATTGGATTGGTTATTCAAATGCCTTCAACTCGGCCAACTCAACCCATGTGCAGTCAGCCCTATCACTAAGTCCGCAAGTGGGCCCTCCTCAATTTACAGAGGGTCAAAATGTAATAAAAAACCTGAACCAGGTCCGCAAATGCATGGACCAAATCTGTAAATATGTCCCAAAACTTCCGCATACCTTTATCTAATATACAGATTTGGTCTTTACGCTTACGAAACCTTATTCAGAAAATTCTTTGTTTTACACTTTGCCTTTTCCCCAATTTGATAACACATCACTGCAGATTGACATTTTTAAAATATTGGGAGAGAGAATCCAAAGTCTGAAAATAACTATTTTAATTAATTTCCCATCATATCACTTTATGATATTCATTATAAATAGTTGGTTTTATAATTCTCAAAGATCAAACAAATACGTGAATACGTATGTATTACGTAATGGTCAAAAAACCGATCGAAGAGATGCCAACATATTCTTATAACGTATTCCCATTTTGGCAAAAGTTGATGAGAGAACAATTTGATGGAAAGGATGTTTTGCATCTCGATTGTTGTTAACGGTTTATGTTAGGTAATTTGATGCGAAAAAATCTAACATTTTCTTTTTAAGTAAATCTTCGAGTAACTTACACGACGTTCGTCGTTTTGATTTTAACATTTGGTTAGGAGTTAGGACGATACGTGATACCTACTTGAATTTAACATATGTAAATGCGAAAAACTTGAGAAAACACTTGAAAAAAGACCATCGACTAGCAACAACACGAAAGCGGATATCACGGTTATTCAAAAGAACGAAAGATGTGGTCAACAACTCTAGCAATTATACGCCCTTTTAAGCAGTAGTCGATTAGTTCGCTCAAAGGAAACCCAAGTTAAAATACCTCAAAAACATCATATTTGAAGTGCATCTGCAATAGATCCAGCCAGGCTCAGGACTTCAAAAGGAGCTCTGTTTGCAATATCTTTGACAGTGATAGGACAAGAGTCTGTAATCCAGAAGTGTGCAAAACCCTTGTTTGAGTTCTCTGAAAGTATAAACGCATGTTAGATCCCAGTATTCGTATAACGGAAAGATGATTTTACGAGAGTGATCAAGATCTTACCACCATCTGTGTGAAGAAATCTCCCCCACGATTTCTTAGGAAACACTGCGTGAGTAACGTAAGCACTGACCTTGGTCGCTCCATGAGCTGCCAAAACTTTCTGCATCACAAAGAGATGAAACAATTGGATCCTCGGGATAAAAATAGCTCCATCTCGTTATGTAAGAACGACAACAATCTCTGTTTTTTATGGATCCTTTGGTTAAATGACCTTCTGACGGCCCCTTGAGCTATCAATTGGTTTATCAATACAAATTCATGACTTCATAAAAGAGAAAAATAAAAACTCTACTATTTGGGGTAGAGGCCAGGTAGGCGTACATCCCCCGGGCCCCAACCCCACCTCTGGATTGGATAAAATGGTTCGTTTGGTTAGAAGAGGTAAAATAGAAATGTGAATACTTGTTTCGGGATGGAGGCAGTAAAGATCAAGCAAATACCAACTTAATATATACTACTCCCTCCCTCCCAAAATAAATGTCAAACACAATGAAGAAGGCGCATGGTTTTAGAAATGTGTAATTATTACACTTTTTAATCAACTAAATGACATTTTTACCCTTAAAAACACAGAGAGAGAGAGAGAGAGAGTAATGAATCTCCCCATCTCACGTTGAAGGATAGAATTAGAAAGTAGACACTTATTTCGGAACAAGCTAAAATAGAAAATGTGGATCCTTATTTTGGAACGAAGGGAGTGTTCTGTATCTTGCAGATGCTTGGTTGACAACTAGTACTTTGCCAAATAATAGAAATTATACACAACTTGCATGAGTTTTCTAAATTTTTGCAACTTCTCTCTTAATTTCAGTTTTTTTCTTTCGGTGGGAGCACAAGTTGGTTGGATATATATATATATATATATATATATATATATATATATATATATATGCACGCACACACACGGGTTGGTTTCCAGTGAGAAGGGAAATTATGGTGAGAAGCATAAGAAGAGATCTCCACCCTTGAATCAATCCTAATTGAATGTCAACACTAATGAGGTGCACCGGATCAATTCCCTTCTAAAGTGCAGTTCATGGGTGGGCATGAGATTAAAAGTGATCAAGGGTTCGGACCTCTTCTTACGGCTTCTCAACATAACTTCCCTTCTCACACGAACCTTCACCTATATATATATATATATATATATATATATATAGAGAGAGAGAGAGAGAGAGGGGTAGAGGTTGGAAAAAGCACCTGGCATTCGATTAAAGTACCGCCAGATTGCACCAGATCATCAACAATTACTACATGGTGACCAGCACAATCACCCTCTTTCAGCCGTACGATCCTTTTATCCCCCTCACGAACTTTTGCACAAACCACCTGATATCGCCAATAATCACATATGCTATATGGATTTAACAATTTAAATTCCTTGCTTTTCCAAGACAAAAGTTAGACTCACCGTGGGGAAGTGATCCAACTGTTTGTGGAATCGCTTCCAAGCTCCATCATCTGGAAAGGCGATCACAACCTGAAGTTCCATATAAAAGATAGACATCAATACTCTACCAAATAAAAGATGACGCTGTGACGTGAAGGTTTGTTACTCTCTCCATGCCAATATAAACGCCCACGATGAGAAAGGCACACACTTCTAGAAATGTGTAAATATTACAGTTTCTAATTAACTAAATGACAATTCTACCCTTAATAATAGAGGGTGTAATGAAATTCTCTATCTCATAATTAAGGGTAGAATTGGAAAGTAGGCACTTACATTTGAAAGTGGAGACTACAAACTAAAATAGAAATATGGACACTTATTTTGGAACAAAGGAAGTATATATCTAAGTGCTAACATTATCAGCATCAGGAAGTTGCTGAAGCCGTTGCTTCAAGAGAGGCATCCCAGTTTCAAAACAAGGCAAAACATGGTCCCCAAAGTAAAATCTTTCCTGCAAGGATAGAAACAAAAAGAGGTTCACTTGTTTAAACGTTGGCATGTCATAATAAATTAAGCATTTAAGATATGTAGAAACTTGACGCATAGTCTATTAAGTAACGGACCTGCAAAGCATGTATGTCATAAATAACTAAGCTCGTAGGACCTCCTCTCGATACAGGAATATTTGATAATATTCTTGCCATGGTAAATGCAGTTGCTACATCTCCTTCTTCTTCCATTCTCTCAAAGGAACCAGTTGGAAAAAAAGGTAACACCAATGTGAAAGAAGCAACAAAAAGCCTCGGGAGTGCAAATATAACGGAGAGCTGCTCAAATATGACAGCGGGGGAGCTGAAAGATGCAAGAAAAGCAACATGCTGGCCTCTGATTTCTTGTGCATTGTTTATGAATAAGTTAGGAAACCCATCATCAAAACTCCTGAGACATGAAACAAAAAGTCAACCAAATACCGTAAAGATGCCAAGAACACAACCACATATACGACAAATTATGCAAAGACACAAGGCAATGCCGTAACAAACTAGATTCTTGATCCCTCAATCGTGCGCCAATTGGGTGCTTTTAGTGTCCAAAGACTTGTCGCTCCTACAGGGGCGGATCTAGAATTTTTTTCCGCTGGTGGGACCAAATAATAACCATAATATAAAAATGTACTTTTTACACTATGATAGACGATATCAATGGTGGCATGGGCCACCACTCAGCAATGAGTATATCGGCCCCTGCCTACAGTCCTCTTAAGATATGTCTCATAACGTCTCTTTTCAGTTTTGGATGGCTTGTACTTTACTTTTCTCCTATTGCAACCGGTTTATATTTTTCCTCTAAGGTGTCCATTGAAGAATATCACGATATCGCAATGATAAACTCTAACAAGGATCCTAAACTGATATAATGTGAGCACTCACCTTGGTCTAAGCTCGAAAGCCTCGACCTCTTACTAATACTATGTTGATGTCTCTGGCTATAGAATATATGAATTCTCTTACTACGAGGCATCACAGATTAGGAAGTCAGTTCATGTCTACTCCTAGCCATTTGGATGACGTATCATATAAGGTGGTATCTTAAAAGATATGCCAAGGAAACAATGCAAGTATTTTTGTACTCCAATCAAGGAAACTGCAAAGTAGGTGGTTTTACATATAAAGGGTGGTGCAAAGTAAGAGGCTTTTCAGATGTTGACAAGAGGGAATGTTCAATTACTAGGGGGCCGTTTACCAAACACTTACCCGGTAAGCGCTTAGCGGTAAAATCTAACACTATCACTTACTTATCGGGTAAGATTTTAGTCCACCAATACGGCATCATATGCAACAATTTACCCGGTAAGCACTAATCGTGGTAAGAGTTGTCGTCCTCACTTACTGGGTAAGACTCTCGGTTTTGCCTTTGCTCTTACCGGGTAAGATTCTTGGTCTTCGCCATATTCATCTGGTAAGGTAATGTGACTTGGTAAGAGCTTACCTGGGTAAGCGTTTGGTAAACAACCCCTTATAGGGGAAAGTTCAAAGTTCAAACAATAACCATAAATATTTTGAGAACTTGGGAACCAACTATTTCATGTATTCATGATGAAAAACCCTGAACAATCATAGAATATTATTCATCATGAATACCATGCATTTTCATAATCCATCAGATCATGCATTTTTATCATGAATGTCATGTGTTTTCATTATGAATGGTTGGTTTTCAGGTTATCAAAATATTTATTGTTCTCATTTGAAAATGCCCCTACTAAGTTGTTTACTTACAGCTTAATGAGCTTAATGGTATGGGCAGCTTATTTGCTCAGCCATACAATGTCGTTTCTTTACGGCTTAATATTTAAGCCATTAAGCCAAAATGGCTATATGGGATAAGCCAGAACCACACACTTGTCCCCGTTAAGCCACTTCAAACAAATTAATACTAGAAATGCCTCTGGAATAATCCAACCTTCTCTTTGCCTCCCTCAAACGCATCGGGCTCCCGTAGACTAACAAATTTATCCACACAAATAACTTAACCCATACAGGCCATAAATGGAAGAAAAATAAATAAACAGCCACTAAGATAACCACCACAAACCCAGCTGAGACATCTTTAAAAAGCCTCAAATTTGATACTAAGCAGGGTGATCATAATCTGTACCATTTCTCTCTTGGATATGAGTATATTTTAGAACTTGGATTGTATTATTAGGGTTTCCATTGATCATCCCCACCAACATACTCCCCATGTACAGTATGTTCCCCAACAGTCATAAATATCTTTGTAACCCTAACTCTCTATGATAAACTGTTCCTGATATCCACCTACTGCAAAGTCTTTCCTCCACATTCTACATAACAATCTCGTTCTTTAATACTAGTAGCATTTTTCACTGAACTAATAGCGATACAAATTTATCACCTCTTGAAAAACCTGAATGTTTGGTTTTCTTATTATCAAGGATGCAATCATACCCATAACCGATCATATAAAGAGGGCGAAAAACAATAAAACTGAATGACTAATTTACATAGAAGATTGAAATAACAATTGTGATCTAAAGGGGGTAAGAGCAGACCTCCAGTTGATGGATTGAAGCTGAATGAGGTCGGATTGAGCGTAAATTTTGCGAGCAAGTTCTTCGGCTTCCACACAATAGAAGAGGAGCACTTGTTTTTTGGTGGGTTTCTCCATTTTACAGAATGCTCTTGAAGATTTCCTGCTGCAGACACCGTTTTATTGAGAGACCAAGGTGGAACAATTTTGACGTGAAATGCGAGTTTCCATAGTGTTTGACACGGTGTTATGGCCGATTAAATCCAATATTATAACGTAACAATCGGAATAAAATGTTATCGTGTTGGACCAATTTGAGCATCTCATTGCTTTATTTGGCGGTGGTCGACGGCGGGGTTCAGATGGGTGGTGGTTGGCATTGGTTCAGATTGTTGGTAAGTTGGCGGTGGTCCAGATCGGTGGTGGTTCAAATCGGTTGTGGTCGGCGATTGTTCAAATCAAGTAAGAAAAATGGAATTTTTTTTTCTTTTTGAGAAAATGAGATGAAATTGAATTGAATTTCTTCTTAACTGTGATGAAATGAACAAATCCATGAATGGTGGAATGCCTGAAATTCAATTCCGCAAATAAACTTAACACCTGAATGAAATTAAGTCAATGGAATTGATCATTCCAATTCCTTGGAATTTCGGCGGAGTCCTACAAACCAGACGCCTCCACAGAGACTTGGTTGTTGGTGTAGATTAATATGTATCTATGAAATGATTGATAAAATTTTTGTTTATAATATTTTTTTATAAATGGAATAAACATGTTATTTAATTAGGGAAGGGCATGTTCGGTAAAACTTGGCTTCCTACATAAAATTTTCTCTAGAAGCTTACTAAATAAGTCATTTTACATATCATTAAGTCATTATTAAACAATCATGTATAATAGACTGGATAAATTATAAGTCTCGTTAAGCTCATTAAGCTAATAACAAACAGACTTTGATGATCGTTATGACATATCATGACTGAAGGGTCATATCTCATGTCACGTAAAAATTGTGTCACGATCGCCTAATGCACGGTTCATGTGACGCGATATTTGAGTTTTAGCATCTTTTTAGTGCCTTTTTTTATGAACCTGGATATCCAACTCCCTATGCACACCCACTAATTCCAGGGTGACCATCCACTTTACGGGTGGTCCGGAGTCATCGTATTTGAATCTCCGTGACCACAAGATGATTTTTATTCTTCCTTGGATTTGAACCTATGACCTCCAGACACTTTTAACATTTGGAACATAAGCGCAAACCAATTAAACGTCACCCTTATGGTTAACTTTTTAGTTCATAATATAAAATAATTTAAATTGTTTGATATCTTGATCCATTGACTAATAGACTCATAGTAAAAATCACATGTGTATATAATTAAATTTTCTTAACTACATTATTGCCTGAAGCGCCAAGATGCGTATGTGTAATTATATATATAAATTTACTTATACTTTTAAATTTGAATTTTAAGTAATATATATCAATAAACAATAATTCATGTTTAAAAAATAATTTTTAAGTATTTTTTTAAATAATTTATAATATAATGTAGATATACTTTATATGGTCATAAAATCCATGTATAAATAAAATATAAAGGTGAATTATTATATATTTGGTCCTTTATGAATACCTCTTTTTCGATTTTCATCCCTTAAAATCATAAATAACATTAGGGGTGAGCATAGGCGGGTACCCGTCCTTTTTTACAGGAACCGGAACCGGAACCGGCGGTTCTTGAGATATTGGAACCGGAACCGGAACCGGTTAGAGCGGTTCTTAAATTTTTGGAACCGGTTCCGGTTCCAGGTACCCGCTTCCTAAAATATTCAAAATTTGTTATTTAGAAATAAAAAATAAAACATTACCAAAACACTAAATAAATAAGCAAGAATACAAATTATACAGAATAATGGTTACAAATATTGATTAACGATTACAAACCATAATAGACTAATAGAAAATGTTCAAAGTTTAACGATTACATACTATAATGGTAATTGTTCAAAGTTTAACGATTACATACTATGAATCCAAGTGAATACACAATTTGAAAAATACGAATCATTTTATATGAAGAATTTAGATGAAGATTGAAGATGACGACGTGCTTTTAAGATGTAAACCTAATATAAATTTGGTATTAAAAAATATTTTTTTTTTAATTGAAAAATACCGGGTACCCGGCGGGTAACGGTTCCGAAAAATTGAGAACCGGAACCATTCTCAATCGGTTCCGTATTTTAGGAACCGGAACCGGAACCACTCATATCGGTTCCGGTTCTGGAACCGGCGGTTCCGGTTCTATAGCCGGGTACCCGGTTCCGCTGCTCACCCCTAAATAACACTGATCATCCAAAAATCATGTTTCGAACCCAAATAAGCCCCCGCACTAACACCATTAGTGACAACTCCGTTAAGTCGGTCATGTGTCCCTCACGTGATGGACAATTTGGTCATCTTACCTATCTTCTTCAATCTCAGATCCATCCCTAATAACATGTCAAAACCCATTCATACTCAGGTCAACAAACATCATCTTCTTTTCCCTTGAAACCTTCACGACCTACGACAACTTCCATACTTGAATCTGCAGAAAACAAACCATCACCATTCGGTTTCTTGTTTATAACTCCATAGAACCTTCAACTTCCACACTTGAATCTGATGTGGTTCTGCTTTTTCAGCTAGGCGGCGGTTCATGAGTTTTCAGGGAGGTTCAAATTAAAAGAAAAAGAAAAACATACAAATATTAATTTAATTAAAATAAAGTGGGAGTCAAAAAGACCCATCACGTGAGAGGCACATGACAAGGTTAACGGAGATATTTTAACACTGTCAATGGGAGGGACTTATCAGGCTCCAAAACAATATTTTTTGGACCACCAATGTACTTTATGATTTTGAGGGACGAAAACCAAAAAGGAGACATTTATCATTTTGTTTATTTATGGTGTTTGTTTGCATAATAACCCCCGGTTTTTTTATTATGGTCACATTGAGAATGATACTTTACTTTCTCTATGTGCATACGAAGAGCATCGAATCAGATTGAAAGTAATTTTCTTGTACGTTTAATCAAAAAGGCCTTAATTTGCAAAACAACGTCTCAAAATGCTTGAGCGAACAGTTAAAACGTTGATTGTTTGAGCATACACTTTTAGAGACTCGAGATCCTCATATCTTAATATTCCTTGCTTCAAAACATCTTGGAGGAATTAGAGACGATCCAAGTAAGGTTTATAAATAATAAACGCTTTACCGTTTGATTGTTGTATTATTTAGATGTAATAAAATATATAATTTGGAAATCACATGTGAATATCATCAAATATTTACGTGCATACAGACATTGCATGTATACGAGGGAACTAGCTATTTTCGATAACTGAAGATGGAATGCCCAAACAATTATTTGTTAATTACATCAGTATCAAGGCAACATTTTAAGCCTCGAAAATTTTTAAAAAAATGTTATCATCAACGGTCATAAGTAGTTTATGTTTGATACCCTTTGAAGTCATGCGTACATATTGGCTATACATTTATTCGAGTAATTTATACCCGAAATAACTTCTAAATGGCTTGTTGTTAGTATGCACCATGATCAACATGCAAGGACATCTCATTACAAGAGCAACTCAATAGTTTGTTCACAGCCGACGAGTCTTGAAACGAGACTTATGTGCCTATTTCACATTTGAGGAGTCTTGAAACGAGACTCAAGTGCCTATTTCTTACGGTACGTTTAGTATTTGACGAAATGGACGGATGAGGGTGAGATAGTAGGTGTTCATAAGTTGAAATCCAATAGATTTTAGGTCGAACCAACCCGATCCAATAAACTTTGGAAAACCAATCCAATAGATGATTAGATCGAACCAGTTTTATCAATTAGATATTACAACAAATTATCCATTTCTTCAGATTGGATCTATCCAATAGTTTAATCCAAATTTCAACCATTTTTGTCTTCTAATTTTCTTATAAAAACATACATATTCATTGTAAAATAATATTAATCATGTATCTATTAATTAAATGGTAGTTAACCTGTATCGATTCGGCCTTATTGGATTCTAATCTGTCATCCAAAACCAAACAATCCGATATGAATGCCGATAGTTTTGGATTTGATTCGAATCCAATTTTTGATTGACCGATTCCAATTGAAACACACGTCCTTTTTGCACATCTCTAATGGGTAATTTAGTAATTTACTAATTTTATACCAAACATAAGTAATAAATTTTTTTTTTGTCTCGTCTCACATACGAATATATTATTCAAAGTCAAATAAAGAAACAAGAAAATATGTTGACCAGAGTCAAACTTTTACGATTTTATTACTTATAAGATTTTAAATTATTCAATTAAATGCATTTTTTTAAAATTTATTTAACGTTCCAATCATAAATATATGGTATTAAAACAACAATGATGAGAATTAATTAGCTTTACCAAAAAACGTACTCCACAACATTTTATAGATTAAATGACACCACATGGCCCTCTTTTTAAATACAAGCACGTTAAATAAATCTATTTTTAAAAATGTCACATAAAAATAATTTATTTATTACATAAAATACTTTTAAGTATTTCTTAATATTATAAACCTTTTAACATCATATATTTGTTATGATTATGATATAATTTTAATTCCTACAAAAACAATAATTAAATAAGAAAACGATCAAATAACATGTCATTTTACATCACTTAAGTCGTATGATCTAATATTATGGGTCACGTTTACGTTGACCATTGGTGTAAAATATGTGTTGTCTTATTTAGTTACTGTTTTTCGTTTAAATATTCCTTTTGAAAATTGATGTATCAAAGATTAAAAAAAATCAAAATACTTTAAAAAATTATTTTAATAAATTAAAAAAAATATAGATTTTGAAATAACAGCGCCTGCAAACCAGAAATATAAAAAATTCAAATTTGGTTGGTGCGCAAAAATGGAGAAAACATATGGAGGTTGTAAAGGCCCCACGTATATATGTGGTTGAAACCTTTTCTTTCACACCGTAACTCTCTACATCCAGATCAACTGTTGGTTTAAAAGTTGTACCTTATTCATTAAAACTTGTACTTTTATTTCCAGTTGGTTAATTTTGGTTTGGAAGAAGACATGTACTTGAAACTTTTTTTCCAGAGCATAAATTTATTCGTACAGAGAAGTTAGTGGATTTAATTTTGTACGTTGTGGATTAAAGATTGTACGTTTTTGTGTAATTGGCGAGTTTTGGTGTGGTAAAAGGACAGGCTTATATATATAACGCTTTTGGAGAAGGAATGTGTGTTGGAGAGAGATTAAAGAAGGAAAAGTGAAAAAGCAAAGCGGCAAACAGCGTCTCTCTCCATGTGCCTTGGACCATTTCCTCTTTCTCTGACTAGGGTTTAAGCTTCTTCGTTGTTCATCAGTTTAACTGTTGGGAAATTGGGTTCTTGAATGGTGTCTGTTGGATTAAGATCTGTGCTATAGAGATGACGGATCTGTTGGGGTTTCAAGAAAGGAATTTGGAAGTTGAATGAGGTAAGTTTCTTGTGTTACTACTTTCAGTTTCAGTAGTTGGGTACTTGAAGATCTGTGCCTTTTTGGTGAAGTTGCGTTGCTCAAAATCGAGTTCAGGTGGTGTTAATTCGAGTGTTTGAAGGTGAATTTGAGTGAAGTTGGTTTTAGATCGCGATAGGTTAGGTTACTTAGACAAACTGCAAAAAAGTTTGGCAGGGGGGATGCTTTTCTTTTCGAGTTGGATATTATATGAGTAACTTTTTGTTGTTGATTTGGATTTGATGCTCAAGTTGTCGGGAGATTGATCAAGAGTGAAGAAGGAAGAGCATTATCGGAAGGTTGTATATGGTCCCTCCATTAAGTGGTAGATAAGTCAGTTAGTAGGACCTTGGGTTAATGATTGTTACTTTTTCGGGAAGATGGGGCATCACTTTTTGGTGATCTTTATAGTTGTTTGAGGACTAGGCTGGTTCCATACATCCATTTTCGTTACTTAAATTCAAGGATCCCCTTTCTGTTAATAATGTCGACTGAAGGAGCTCCTCGTTTCAAGTCAATTAAATCATTGCCGGTGGATTATAGATTTATGAGTTCAGCCGAAAAGTCTACAAGTAGTAATAGCAGTATGATTTCTGTTAGTATACCTGAGAATGGTAGTGCAGCTGGTGGTGACAACATGAATCAGGTTGATGATGATTCACCATATGGTCAGAGGACACCAAGCTCAACCTTTTTTATGAATGACAGACCTTCCATGGATGATGAAGATATTGATCCATCAGTTTCTCCTCAAGGATCTGTTCGGCCTTCATGGGGTGAAACCAATTGGGGAGATACTGCCTCATATGTTGCAAAAAAGGTAATTCTGGTCTTTAAGCCACGACTCTCTTACTTGTTGTCTGGCATGCACAATGGATTCACACAACCGATTAGATTAATTAGGATTTCATGATATTGATATTACAAAATGATTTTTTCCATCCCTTTACCTTCTTGCAACATGTAGTTATCAACATGAATTGAGATTGATAGGAGCCTATAACCAGTCACTGATCATAGACCGTCCAAAATAAACCTAACAAGCCTACAACACGCTCTGTGGGCGAAATTACGCATACAGAAAGAGAAAATCCAATTGTACCAAGTTTCCTTCGCTTGCTCTGCTGGCTAACTAACTTTATCTCCATAACATATTAAAGAAGTTCATTCTTTTGTCGGTGATTTTTCTGCTATAGTTATTTCATTTGGACTGGAATTGAGGAATGTTTTGAAGCATGTAATACTTGGAAGTTTTGTACTATATTCACTTGATCATGCCAAAACAATCAATTCAGTTGATGTGCACTGCAGATAACGTATCACTGAAAAATAAAGAATCCATTGAAGTGTATCTTACCTTTTTTCTCTTATCTTCTAATTTGCCTTCTTAGTATTCACATGTAGAAAAGTTGCGAATTTTGATAATCTTTTTCACACAAAATCAACTTAAGAAACAATTAAGCTCTCAAACACAACCAAATCAAATATTGTCACACACCTATCAACATGAAACCTTAACTTTGGAAAATTGATTTGATGTACAGTAGCAACCTAAATCTGGGTTTCTATAAAAATATAGAAGGGATGATGAAAATTCAGTTAATCCTTACATGATGACAACTTGGTTCAATTGGTGGAAATGGTGATCTCAATATAAAGAAGATAGAAATGGGTGTTTTTTCCTCATGAAAGAAAAAGAAAGAATCGATGGATGATTTTGTGTCTGTTTTTCTATATGTGTGCATGTGAGAGGTTGGTATTTCTTGAAATTATAGTTTTTAAGTGGGGAAATTGGCTCACTTGAAACTTTTTAAATATGCTTTTGGGTTATCTTGGCCCTATCTTTTTCTTGTAACTTTTTAAAAATAAATATTGTCTATGTGTGAGCAAAGTTGGCCGCCACATTAACTCAAGGGGAAAATTTACGCATCACCTATCCTACTTCTGTGCTAGCAGGCAGGTATGATTCGTCGGAAGTGGAAGAATAAGCATGGCTGCAATTTTGTTGGGCAATGCCTATTTTATGAGGCACACAATCAAATTGAGCTGATATTATATCCAGTGTGATGCATAGGGATCCCCTCCTTGATTGGTCATCACAATAAAAAATGGTTTGAAAGCCTAAGCAATTCATTTGGTTAATTGGCATTTAACAAATTAATGCCCAAGCAACGAAGAATGGAACATAGGAGTGGATCTTSTTTACTACTGTAATTCAAAATGATAGTGCTTGGATTTAAATTGTGTTTCGTGCAATATTCTGATGACTTGAAAACCTTATTTGATGATCACATATCTTGTAATACGACGTGCGGAAAAGCTAGTAAGTGCATTATATATCCTTAACTTCTTTGTGAGGAAATAATCACTGATCAATGTTATAGCTGCATAACCATTGTTTGTAAAAGATTGCAATGCTAATTATCCTCCAGTTTCTTTTCCTTCCCATTTATAGTCTTTAATGAATGTAGGTTTTATATGTAATAAAATGGGTTAGATGAAAGCTTTGTGTTTCTTCATGATGCTAGTCCATAGTTGAAAAGATATGAGTGAATTAAGGGAATGCATTTGTTTCGTTGTCTAAAACATGGCTTCATATAATTTAAAGTCGATAGTTGCATGAAAATGGATGCTTATGTTAGAATGACTTATTCGCACCTGGTGTAGTTCGGCCTAGGTGGCATGATGCACACCTAGTTTGCATCCATTATCTGAAACATGAAAACAAGAAATTGATAATAGAGAGGAACCGATGCAGCTGCATTTGAGCTTGACTCTTGCATATACGGCTTGAGGTTGGGGTGGGGAGGATATTAAGGCTTGACAAACTTCTTAAGGGTTTAATTTAAAGAGTTCGTTAACTCCCAYGGTCAAAGGACGTAGGTCTGAAACCCAAATGAAATCACAAGGCCAATTCTTAAATAATCCTACATGTTGTCGAAAAAAATTGAATACTCACACTGTAAGCACGTGGATTTTGTTTCTTCTTCTCTCATGTCCCGCTATTTTCTTTTATACTTGCATCTTATCTCATTTGTTGTCTGCATTTTGATTGTTATGAATACTCTGTTCATATCTGGTTGCCATAAGTGCCTTAATATATTATTTTGACATGAAATGCACATTTCAGCGATTTTTATTGGTTAATGTATATCTTTCTWTTGTATTTCACATGTGTATGTGTGCGTGAGAATGTGTGCTACACCAAAATGTAGTATCTTTGAAGATGCCGTTCCCACATGCAGTAAATGTACTAATTCTTCTCCATCTATGGTAGGGCACCATGGTTTGTTCTGTGCATGGATAAGTCACAAGTTGGCCTACCTCTCATGATGGGACTTATTCTGTTGCTATTGGTTGAATGCCATTATACCATGTATTTCTTTAGATGCTAGAGACCTTGAGCAGTGAAATTGTTGTTTTCTGTTGTGTTTTATTTATAAAGAAGGCCTATGTAAATGCTATTCATTTTTTAAGTCTAGCTTGTGATTGGATTTAAATTTTGAGGATAGTGAAGCATCTTCTTGGGCTTCATGGTGGCCTTTTTTTGTTTATGGGAGAATGTAGGGCTTTTTGTAGAAAAAAAGGGGAAGTTTATATGCATGACTTCATTGTAACTAGTTGTGGTCCTTGTGAATTGTTGACTTGTTTCAATAGGCAATGAATGTTTCTCCCAAGTTCCAGAGAAAAGATGTCTCTAAATTCATTTACAGAAGAGTATTTTGATGATATGATGACATTTATAAATGTAAAGTGTAAAATGATGTGATTATATTTATCTTTCACTTTGTATTATGAGGGTTATCGTTTCCGCTAATGCTTAAAGGACTAACGACAAGCTGTTTTGGATTTTTGTATAAGATATTTTATGGTAAGTATCTTATGCCTGATATGGTTGCTTAAGTTGCCAGTCTGAATCCAGAATTAGTTTGAAGGTGCAAACCAAAATAAGAAGTTTGACCAGCTAAGAATGGTCCGAATTCTGTAGCCTTTTGTTTGTAATGGTGAAGTACTTACATTTCCTTAGTCTACTAGAGGGCATTTGATATTAGTCATATCAGTAACCCAAAAGAAAAGAAAACCTTTCCACCTGGCAATAAAGAGAAAGAAATAGACCTTCATACCAAAAGAGTTAAGCGGATTTCCTGAGACTCTTATCATATACACCAATTTTTTGTGTTCATAATCACACATATGGCTTGTTGTGGGGTTCACCAGAGATTCAAGTTAGCAAGCAACATTTTTGCTTTTGTGCTAACATGCTAACAATGTGTGAATTAGTTCAGTTGACTGATAATATGTTAAATGTTGTAACAAATCTGTAATTGTCTCTCCATACACTCACATGTTCTTTTGATCGACTAGATTTAAACCACTATGGTTTACGTGTACCTTATAACAAAAATTACTAAATCTTGCACATTGAGAAAAGCAACAGTTAATTTCTAACTATATAATAAAAATACATATTGATGATGCATTTCAAAATGAGATAAATTGATTCATAGGACACCAAAATAGTGCGATTTCATCATCTCAATGAGTTGAAAAGTTCAATTAATTTCAATAACGTCAGCACCATTTTATAATACTGTTGATTTTTAAACTTTTGAGCTTAACCGATAGACATATGTCATGCATCTAATGTTGCTTATCTCTATGGCATTGGCATACGCATGTGATTCAGAAGCTTCAGTCATGGTTCCAATCTACTGATGGGAACTGGGAGCTGGCAAGGATTCTGTCCATTTCAGGGAACGAGTCGCTCATCTCATATTCTGAAGGAAAAGTAAGCTGGCTCCTGTAGATCTTTGTTACTTAATTTTATATGGAGTTTCAAATAATCACGACTTTTGACTTGGCTTCTCAAATTAGGTACAAAAGGTGAAATCTGACAGCCTCTTACCTGCTAATCCAGAAATCCTTGACGGTGTAGATGATCTCATGCAACTAAGTTATTTAAACGAACCATCAGTTTTGTACAATCTTCAATATAGATATGATAGAGACATGATCTATGTAAGCATCTAGCCATCTACTAGCATTTTAGTAGTTTGACAAATTAGTGAAGCTTGTGTTATTTTATTGATCACGTGTTTCTCTGCGTTATAGTCCAAGGCAGGACCAGTTTTAGTTGCAATCAATCCCTTCAAGAAGATCCCAATGTATGGGAATGATTATATTGAAGCCTATAAGAGTAAATCCACAGACAGTCCTCATGTATATGCCATTGCTGATACAGCCATCAGGGAAATGATTAGAGGTTTTTTACGTTTTCCTAGTATACTTCTATGAACCTTTTGTTGCTTTTGGTGTTTCTGTCATGTAAGTCTTGCTCTTTTTCTTTTCTTCCTCGCAGATGAAGTAAACCAATCTATTGTGATAAGGTTAGTTAAACTCTCTTCATTGGACATGTCTGTGCAGTTTTCTCAGTTTTCTTTACCCTCAACGTTTGTCTTTTGTAAATATTTTACTTTTTATGTATCTTCTTGACCTTCATGTACAACATCTCAGAGAGAGATTCATTTTGAACTACTAGTCGTATTAGAGATATCACTATGGTAAGACCTGCATATTGCAAAAATGCAAAAAAGAAAAAGGCACCACAATATCGGCACTTCATGGATGCTTCTGAATAAATATTTCGTGATTTCCGTCGATATCATGTCCCTTCATCTTGTAAGACATTTGAGGGTATGATTATGGTAATGCCCTTGTCATCCAGTTTGTTAATCTTATATATTACTTAAAATTTGTCTCAATAGTAGTCCTGTACATAATGTTCTGCTGTTAAACTAAAAAGCCATCATAAATGGTTTAAAAGTTCAGTATTTTCTCTTTTAAATTTGAACTATATTAGATGTCAATTTAGCATTTATTGAAGTTTGGTGTACTTCAATGTGAAACCAATGATTCAGTCAAAGCTAACCAGGGAAGATGACAAATTGTGGCTTCATATATGACTATTCTGGTCATTTTAGGATTCAAAGGCATAATGTGCTCCCTAGTGCTTCATCTGTGAGGCCGTGGCTAAAAAGCCATTGGCTGTGGAAATTATTGTCAAGCATCGGCCAGGGATGGGACGCCATTGTCACTTGCCCTTTTTCCACTTCATATCTTAATTGCCCATGCCTCTCAGCAGCAGGTGCTCTCTAGATAATAGTAAAATAAAGACAATGTTTGCTATCATCTGAATTATTAAAGGCTTCCTACTGCTTAAACAAGAGCAGGTAAACTAGTAAAGAGAAAACACCACTTAATTATATGGCTACATACATAGTGCACTCTTTGCTGGGGACCCACAATTTCTTTCCGCTACCTCTTGCTCTAGTGTACATATGATGCTACAATTTGGCTACCTGTTTTTTCTCATTATACATGACATGGACAATTTCTTAATTTTTAAGATACCGTCATTAATAAGTTCCGCAATTTTACCTTTTTAGATTATGGTGTAACCGTGTAAGAAATCTTGTTATCATTTGCAAGTTATCAAATTTGTCACTTGGAAAGGTTTTATTCAACACCACCATTACGGAGATTTCTATTCCGAACTAGTTGCTGATGAACGATGAGTCCACAAGAAATTCCTTAAATGGGAACCCAATAGATAGAGAACACTAGGAAAGGGTTTATGCAAAACAATTTGCACTCATACCATATTCTTTTGTCTAGTGGTGAAAGTGGAGCTGGGAAAACTGAGACGGCAAAGATAGCGATGCAATATTTGGCTGCTCTTGGAGGTGGTAGTGGAATAGAATATGAGATACTGAAAACTAATCCAATTTTGGAGGCCTTTGGTAATGCAAAAACATCAAGAAACAACAACTCAAGTCGTTTTGTAAGTTACTTTTTTTAAATGCAAGCTTTGAGTTTCTTCTTTGATAATACGTAGGATAAGGACAAATGATGTTGGAACAAGTTCTAATTTGCTACTGATTTCCTAATTCTAATAATAACACTAATAAATGTCAGGGAAAATTGATTGAAATTCACTTTAGTGAAACTGGAAAAATATCTGGTGCCAAGATCCAAACATGTAAGATGTCTCATTTCTTTTTAGATTTTAGAATGAAAGTTTCTTTACTATTTATCTGACATCGATGTCTGACTGCTTTGTGCAAATTGGTGTCCCGTGATTTTTAAAATTATGCAGTTTTGCTTGAAAAGGTATGGCTTTGATCTTCCCATGTTTTCACTTCTTATTTCTCCTTATTACAAATTACTCATTTCATCTATCTATGAACAGTCGAGAGTTGTTCAATGCACAGAAGGAGAAAGGTCATATCACTCATTTTATCAGCTTTGTGCAGGAGCTCCACCTCCGCTTAGAGGTATTAATTTCTGAATTTTGCACCTGTTGCCTATCTCATGTGACATGCATGATCTAAATAAGATTCCTATATCACCCCTACTGAAAGCATCTGAAGAGAAGAAAGGTTTCTCTGTATTGTTGGATGTGGAATCTATGTTATATTCAATGGCGATCTTTCTGCAATACAGAAGATTTGTAGACAAACCTATATTTGCTGAATGAACAGAATCTGCTCTTGGCAAAATTTCACGATTATGATAACTTTCATCTTCAATGACTGGCTGGGAACAGAATGTGGGTTTTAGCATATGGTTGCTGGGTTTTCTCAGTGCTAGATTTAGAGAATACAAGCTCACTATTTCTATCAAGGTTCCAAATGGCATGAAGCGTGGCGGCGAGATCAAGCCCCAAGAGCCATAGCAAGGCTTGGTGTTTTTCAAGGCCTTGATGAAGGCGGCATATCAATATATCATATATATACATATATGTTTTCTGCTATTACTCAATGATATTGAACAATTTAATTCCATATAAAAGAAAGAAAAATCAAATATTAATATCATGTGTATAGAGCTTACAAAAAGTTCGTATCAAAGACTAGTACCAACGTAAAAAAGTAGAAATACAACAAACACTTAAGAAGATAAAATAAAAGTAAACAGTCAAATAACTTATTATAAAAAACCCACGCGAAAATGCGCCATGGCATGCCTCAAGACGCCATGGCGTGCACCATGCCTTACGCTGCCACAGGGACGTCAGAGATCTTGGTGACTTTTCCGTTCATCATGCTACTTTGCTATTGCTAAATAACTTGTAGCTGGAGTGAGATAATCTGAGCATGCTAAATCCCAAATGATGCTGTTTTAAATGATTATCCACTTTGTGTGTGTGTGTGTGTTATAACAGAGAAGCTTCTTGAATCTTACATATGCGGTCACAACCTTATGTTAAACAGACTACTTGTAAACCATATTCGTCATGGACATATCCCAGATGTGTATCTCCAGGCTTTGTTGATTATGGTATGCCTAGCATGTGTTAGGACATGTGCTCATAACATAGAGAAAGTGCAAATATGACGACACGAAATGTGCATTAACTTTTCTTTTTTGAAATGGAAGGATGTCCTCATGTGCATTAACTGGCACGTTTCTATAAAAAGTAGAATGATGACTTTTGTTGGTTTCAGTAGATTTTCACTTCAGCAACAGCCCAAGAGGTACTTATTAACATTTATCCTTCTATTTCTATGTTGCAGAGAAATTAAACTTGAAGAGTGTACACGAGTACAAATACTTGCAGCAAAGCACTTGCTATTCGATTAATGGAGTTGATGATGCTGAACAATTTCGTATTGTAGTGGTACTGTATCTCTTCCCTTTAAATGTCCTGCTTTTTTCCTATCCATGTACCATAGGAGGAAAAATGAATCAAACCTTCTACTTCATTTCTTCTGTGAAGAGAGAACTGTTTGATATCCACTATAGAAATTTTATTTTTCAGGAAGCCCTGGATGCTGTTCATGTTAGCAAAGAGAACCAAGAAAATGCTTTTGCAATGCTTGCCGCAGTGTTGTGGCTAGGAAATGTGACCTTTTCGGTTGTTGATAATGAAAACCATGTGGAACCTGTGATTGATGAAGGTAATAGTTTATGATAGTGCCCGACTTGTTTGGTGTCCCTATAGCTTTTCACTTGTTTAATGAAATCTGTTTTATGTGTATTGTGCTCGTTCATCAGTCAATTGGCCAAGTCTATGTGCTTTCAGCTAGGTTGTGTTTTGCAACACATTATCATTGCAGTACCCTTTAGGGGATCTCAATCAGCCGCACTAAATGGTTCAACCACTTAATTGTTCATAGCATGCTTTGAACGAAGACTGTTTCTTTTCCCAAAAATGAATGACTTAATGGTTCAACTTGCCTGTTAATGGTTCATATATATATGCAGTCTTTACCAACAAATGCAAGTTTAGTTTTTTTCGGAGAAAAATATCCTTGTCTCCTTGAGCAAGCTCCATGCCTTTTCTCTTTTCCTAATCTTTTTCCGTTTCTTTGCTGTTTTGTTTTCTTTTTGTCTTTTCTTTCTTTTGTTTTGTGAATTTATTGTTTTGGGGTTTTCTTATTGTTCTTTACTTATACATATAATTATGCATTTATTTTTCATTTACAATTGAATGTCTATAACAGCTCTGCTGAATGTCGCTAAATTAATTGGGTGCGAGGCTGATGATCTGAAGCTTGCTTTGTCTACCCGGAAAATGAAAGTTGGAAATGATAACATTGTTCAAAAGCTGACCCTAGCACAGGTGAGGAAAATAAATTGGCACAGAGAAACTTTCTGGGATGACCTTGATTATGAAAATTGTGAACCCTCCTTATTTCAGGCAATTGACACAAGGGATGCTTTGGCAAAGTCAGTATATTCTTGTTTGTTTGATTGGTTGGTGGAACAAATCAACAAGTCACTTGCTGTAGGCAAACGTCGGACAGGAAGATCTATTAGCATTCTTGATATCTATGGATTTGAATCATTTGATGTATGCCCTTTATTGTGTGTCATCATTATATCTCCGTATAGTTTATAACAACTAAAGTATTAATCGTTCCTTTCGGATGTTTCCAGGTAAATAGTTTTGAGCAGTTCTGCATTAATTATGCGAATGAGCGATTGCAGCAACACTTCAATCGTCATTTGTTCAAGTTAGAGCAGGAGGTAATCAACCATCTGCTGTTACGATTTCGTATATTTTGTCTACTTGCAAAATTATTTTAACTTAAATGCTAAGGTGTAACTCGTAAGTTTTCGTTTATGTGTACGAGGCATCTTGAGGGAATTAGTTTTGGTTGAAGTATGAGTTCAAAGAGTGTTTTATGAAAGAGGACTAAAAGAAAGCCAGCGAAACCAGATAAAAGTATAAGGATGGCCTTTTTCTAGGTTCAAACTTCTTGTAGCCAATTTTCCCTTCTTAAGCTATTAATTATGGTATGTAGCGATAAACCCAACATCACAAGAAGATTGTTATGAAATAACTAAGCTAATACCACATGCCAACCCTTGACTTCCTCCCTCAATGTCATAAAGGAAATTAAGCCGTATTCCTGAATGAGAATCCAAGCATATTCACTTGCATTAGGAACTGACTCACCAGTGTATCGGTATGTGAGCTTAAGCCTTTCCGCATACTTATATGCTGTATCTCTCTTCTTTGACTCTCAAGCAATCAAAACCCTATGTTGGTGATCTACAACCCACTTCATCCATATGTTGGGCTTCTATGTCCTGAGGCTTATCAACCTTGTTTTCCCTTTCAGTGGTCTCGTTTGATCAACTCTTTTTGGTCTTCATCTAGTTTCACGTTGGATTGCTTAATCTTGCCATATTACACTTGTTGTCCTGATACGCATGGAAGGCATAAAATACCTAAAGCGCGATTAAAGAATCCTTCGTGAAGTTAGATATAACATATTGAACACAAATAATATTCAAATGAATGATGTAATCTCATCATCGAGCTTAGGTCTTGCTTCTCCTCGAGTTAACTTGAAGAAAACCAAGGGATACAGTTGATACATAATTCAAATTTCACATATATTAACCATTCAAGGGACTCATAGCACATCATTGCTAAGCTGCATCACATTCCTTTTTCGCAATATGAACGAACCCACATACAAGGAAACTACAATAATTTTAAAATATACTCTTATCAGGTCATAACTTTCCTCTAAATGTTAGAGCTTCTGCCTTCGCGACTCTTGTCTTTACTTGTTTTGGCTTTCTAGCATACTTTCGTTTTGCTCAACTGAAGCCAGTTGCTCATGCTTTTTTGTGGCAATTATATTGAAGTTTAAGTACTACTTATGAAGGATAAACTTGCGAATGGTGGTTAACGTTGTATCTGAATTCACTGATTTTTATGTCGACTAAGTGCTGGTGGCTACTTTTTAGGAATACATCCAGGATGGCATTGACTGGGCAAAAGTGGAGTTTGAAGACAATCAAGATTGTCTCAATCTTTTTGAAAAGGTTTCTAGCCTATTCTTCAACCTATTTTTATTCATTTAAATGGGGCTCTGATTATGGAATACATTTTTTGCTGGTTTATTTTATGTACATGGCCCATCTTCTGTGGTAAGCAAACGTGAATAGGCCGATTTTTTTTTAAATCTATGAAAATCCTATGAGAAACGTATCTGTATGGAGTAACTCTTCGCTGGGAAAAATACTCTTCCCCTCACAGAGAACAGATGATAGCCGTATGCTGCTCGTTGTATTTTGCCTTTTGAGTTTACAAGATATAGTAATATGCATTTCCTTTACTGAATATGTACTTTCAGTTATAGTTTTAAGGTGTTTTGACATTACCAATGACATCTCTTTTACTGTTCCTTTTTGTTTCTGAAGTCTGACGCATTATTATTTTTGGCTGCACATTTGAGAACATTGATAACATCTATTATACAATTGATAGGACCTTGATATCTTGTCTTTCTTATAGAAACCATTGGGTCTACTGACTCTATTAGATGAAGAGTCTACGTTCCCGAATGGCACGGACATGACATTTGCAGGCAAGCTAAAACAGCATTTGAAATCTAATTCGTGTTTTAGAGGAGAACGAGGCAAAGCGTTTACAGTTCACCATTATGCTGGGGAAGTACGTACATATACTCGTTTCTCTTTAATACATCTGTTTCCTCACACTATTCTTCTTGTTAATCTTTTTCTCTTTCAATAATTTGTCTGGGAAGTAAAGACTTGTAGAATGAGAGAAGATTCATCAGTATAGCAGAGACGAAATTTCCTTGCCAGGCAAACAAAAAAAGTAAAAGGAATGGAGTTGAAAAATCTTAATATACATGACTTACTAACAATGCCGTAGGATTACCAGAACTCCTTTTTTCCCCCTAGAGACCTATTCCTGTCTTGCAACGAATCAAATGGGCTGAGGCTCTCTATTTTTTCATCACCATGTGAATCTGATAAATGAAGACTCTTAATGCAGAAGCCATCTTTATAGAACAAGTTTTTCATTCTGTCTTTTTGATAATTTGGTGTTATAAATGATCTTGTTTTTGGCTACTTGCCATAGACTCCATTTTTCTGAATAAACAGAACAAAACCTTCACTGGCTCTTTGTGTCTGCATGCGTGATTGCTACCTAATAGTTATTTTGACTGGCTCTTCTCAGGTTATGTATGATACAACTGGGTTTCTGGAGAAAAACCGTGATCTATTGCATCTGGATTCCATTCAACTTTTATCTTCCTGCACGTGTGAACTTCCACAGGCGTTTGCTTCAAATATGCTTTCTCTTTCAGAAAAGCCTGTGCTTGGACCATTACACAAATCAGGTGGAGCAGATTCCCAAAAGCTTAGTGTCGTGACGAAGTTTAAGGTATGTTCACTTCGAAGATTGAAGTTTGGAGTTGAGATGATAATTACTGGTGTTGATAACATTAGCAAGTACAACACACATAATTCACAAGACATGTATGTTAATTAAAAGTCTGACTTGACAATGGTAAAACTTAGACTTTTAGTATGTTATGTAATTATTGCCTTCCTTTTAATGAACTTAATACTCCCTCCGTCCCAAAATAAGTGCCCACTTTCAAAAGTAAGTGCCTACTTCCCAATTATATCCTCAATTATGAGATGGAGAAATTTATTATGCCCAAGGTTTTTAAAGGCGGAATTGAGCCTCGAGGCGTTTTCCCTCAACGAGGCGAGGTGTAAGCCCCGAGGCAGGAATATATATACACCAAAATATGTATATATACTACACAAATATATATACATTTATACACAATATATAATACCAAATTACTATTTACTAAGGGTGTTGATTCAGTGGTTCTTGACAGGAGAGAGTGAAACCGTGAGATAGGCTGAGAGGATGCTGAAAAATTGGTTGCTTGGAGAAAGGTGAAGAAAGAGTGAAACCACACTTTTTGATTGAGAGGAGAAAGTACTGGCTTTTGCGTTTTAAAATATTAAAAGTACACATTGGGTCCATTGGGCTTTAACTTTTAGTTTTTTAAAATAAAAGACACTTATACTGTAAAGAGAAGTACTACTACTCTCATAAAGCCTGCAAAAAAGCCAAGAAAACCATTACCAAATCCAGATCATCTGAGGCGTACGCCTCAACAACACCTCACGCCTCACTGAACCAAGGTGTAAGCCTCGTCCAGGGTCCAAGAGGCGCCGCCTCAGGTGCGGTTTTGGGTCGCCTCGCCTCAAACAATTTTTAAAACCACGATTACTCCCTCTATTATAAGGGTAAAATTGTCAGTTATACACTTCTAAAACCGTGTGCCTTTTTAATTCTGGACATTTATTACAGGGACAGAGGGATTCTCAGACATATAGATCATACTCCTGATAGGGGCTGTTTCTTAGGAGATGACTCTTCGCTGTTATTCTTCTAACCGTGACACAGGCTCCTTTCAGGAGCGAATTTAGTATGTGGATTGTGATATCTGAAAGAGTGTTCTACAGAATGTTGAACAATCCATAGCCTATGCTTTCCTTTATGCTTAGATCAAAACTGTATCGCTTTCCTAACAGATGATGTTTTGTTATGGGCCCTAATAATATATTAATTAGTTACCTTACTGACTTGTTGCACTGTCTCTCATCTTGGTCAGGGCCAACTGTTCCAATTAATGCAACGCTTGGAGAGCACAACACCGCATTTCATTCGTTGCATTAAACCCAACAACTCACAATCTCCTGGAATTTACCGTCAAGGACTTGTCTTGCAACAGCTGAGATGTTGTGGTGTTTTGGAAGTTGTTCGAATATCAAGGTCGGGCTTTCCAACAAGAATGACCCATCAGAAATTTGCGAGAAGGTATATTTTTTCATTTGTTGTAGTTTTTCATTTTGTGGTGCTTTTTAGTTCTTATTTAGAAGTAACATTTATTCACCCTTCTCTTTCGTTCCAATGTCTTTCCTGCATTAGGTATGGCTTTCTTCTGCTAGAGCATCTTGCATTGCAAGATCCATTAAGCGTGTCAGTTGCCATTCTTCACCAGTTCGATATTCTTCCTGAAATGTATCAAATTGGCTACACAAAATTGTTCTTTCGAACCGGACAGGTTAGAGGAGTATTTTTTAGTTCCCTCTATCACCTGCTAATTATATAATACTTCATTTTTTCTTTGCAAGGAGTAGCTCATGATTTATATGCCCTGCTCATGGATAATTGGGTCATGTTGTCAAGCGTTCTTTTAATATTAATTTGAAACTAATCATTGAATTAAGCGTTTCAAAAACTAAGTAGAGACGGTTCACATTTTTAAACTTGTTTTCATCATTCGACTCTCAACTTGGCAGGAATTTTCACGATCCTTTGCTTATTGAAGCAATTGCACAAAGTTATTTATCAATTTCTAATCTTGCATTCATAAATCTTCGCACTTTGATTAATGTAACGAGTGCACATTTTTCATTCTTATTCTTTTCATGGCGGCTGAGTAATTATTGTTAACCAGTCATTGTGTTTGCTGTCAACCTATGCCAGATTGGTAAGCTTGAGGATACAAGGAACCGTACTCTTAATGGCATATTGCGTGTTCAAAGCTGCTTTAGAGGTCACAAAGCTCGTCAATACATGAAGGAGTTTAAACGAGGAATTTTCACTCTCCAGTCATGTATGCCTTTTAATCATCTGTTCTAATTCTTTTATATTCACCTCCTTAGGAAAAAAGTGAATTATGGGAAATTTACGATATTTTGCTACAGTTGCTCGTGGTGAAAAAGCTAGAAAGGAGTTCACAGTATTACTCCAGAGACACAGAGCGGCGGTGCTTATACAAAAGCATATTAAAGCAAAAACAAGCAAGAAAAGATTCGAAGACATTCATGGCGCAGCGGTTGTGTTACAAGCTGGTATTATTTTAGCATCTGCAGATTATAATTTATGGTTCGGTAGAATATGTGGAGAAATGTGCATGGGTGAGGCTAGGGTTGGGGAATAACAAATCAAATTTTTCTTAGGAATGAGAACATTTTATAGAAAATCTCTGCTGAAAAAGGGAATGGAAACCCAGATAAACAAAACTATTTGCTTAATGGGCTTTACTTTGTGCATATGTGGTTGTCAAATTATAAGTGCTTGCTTCCATTAACTACCTGGTACAAATTTTTGTCATTCATATACAGTCTACAACCTCTTATTTGTCCAATTAAGTTGTTATAAGCACTGTATAATGTAACCTTTTGGGGTATAACGTATAACATAATTATGTAATGCTATAAATCCATGTGGTTATATAACATGTTTTCTTATACAAAAGCACCCAGAATTCACATAATAACCCTGAGGTGGGAATATGGTAAATAAGTGTGGGTTTATTTGGCTTTACTAGATAAAAAAGAACTTTGAATAGATCTAAAATGTTCCTAAGATCGATATCATAAGCTGTAAGATATCTACCCCCTGCCATTAGGATGGATATTGAGATTGGGTTTTGATGCAAATAGTAATCTAGGAAACTTTGAATCAATCATTTCATTGCAGTCTTGATTTATCTTATTAAAATATGTTTCCAGTTATTCGTGGCTGGCTGGTTAGGAGATGCTCAGGGGACATTGCACTACTTCAATTTGGTTCCGGAAAGGTAATTGCAATTTTTCTATCTACTACTATATTATGATGTTTGATAACAGGAAAATTATGTCAACTCATATAGTACACAATGATTAACAGGTTGATGGTATTTTTTTCCATTAGAAATAATATAATTGTGAATAATACCTCAAACTTGAATCTTAGACAACAAATTTATATGCCTCTATATTATGTTGTGGAATATGAACACCTAGTGTAACTGTAAGATATTATGAATGATTGTTCACTAAAGATGCGTTTAGTAGACCAGACAACGAAAACTTGTTGTCCCATGTTTGGTGCGACATTAGACTGAGACAGGACAAGGATTGAATGGGACAAAAGTGCATTTTTTTGTCCCACCAAAAATAGATGGAACAAGAACCAGGGAGATGGACAAGATGTTCAAATTACTAAACCACCCATGTCAAAATAAAACACAAACTTTCCACGATTCTTTCACTCGCCTACCTCACTCATGCCATCTAGTCCCGTCCAGTCCTGTTTGTGTATGAAACGGATATGTACAGTCAACATGTGAAATTATTAAAAGAGGCTTCTTGTTCTTATGGTCGTATGTGAAGTCTTGTGATCTTTTGCAATAGTTCCTATTTTTCCTATTACTTTGCATATTTTGGGAATTCTTGTTAGCTGTTACATGAACTATGGTTTAGCGTTTACGTAATTTATGAGATAACGAACGAATTTTGGCAATCAGGGTAATGAATCGGATGAAGTGCTAGTGAAATCATCATACCTCGCTGAGCTACAGCGAAGAATTCTCAAAGCAGAGGCTGGTTTACGAGAGAAAGAAGAGGAAAACGATATTCTCCACCAACGTCTCCAGCAGTATGAGAGCCGTTGGTCAGAATATGAGCTTAAAATGAAGTCCATGGAAGAAGTATGGCAGAAACAAATGCGGTCACTTCAATCAAGCCTCTCCATAGCCAAAAAGAGCCTTTCCCTTGATGATTCCGAGAGAAATTCTGATGCTTCAATCAACATAATAAATGACGATAATGGCAGCTGGGATGCAAATGCCAGAAGAAATGGTCACGAAAGCAATGGCGTGGGTGGCGTGCGACCAATGAACGCGGGTTTAAGTGTCATAAGCCGATTGGCCGAAGAGTTTGAGCAGAGAAGCCAAGTGTTTGGAGATGATGCAAAATTCTTGGTTGAAGTTAAGTCAGGTCAAGCAGAAGCAAACTTGAACCCAGATCATGAACTCAGAAGGTTGAAACAAATGTTTGAAGGGTGGAAGAAGGATTACAGTGTGAGGTTGAGGGAGACAAAGGTAATTTTAAACAAGCTTGGACACGAAGATGGGGATAGCGATAAAGGTAAAAAGAAATGGTGGGGACGGCTAAACAGCTCAAAGGTTAATTGAGTTTCTGTGTTTGTTACATAAATGGTATATAGTAAGGAAGTGTTTTGGGTTTGATTCTTGGCGATTTGTCGTTCATATGTTTTGTTTCGTATGGGAGTTTGATGCTCGTGAACATGTGTGTGCCGAGTGAATGAATTATGCTTGCCATTCTTCGTTTCGTGTATCTTAACGACACTACGTGTATCAGGTTAGTCAAAGATATCGATCTGGTCTCTTTTTTAATGCTTGTGCATGTGCAATACCGGCTTTTATTGTAGATTTTATGCAGCCATTCCTTCTTGGTCCAAATAAGTGGGTACCCAACTAAACCATGATGTCATCAAGTCAGATCAGATATAGTCAATAGGCTGGTTTGACTATGCCGTTGACCGTGCGAAGTTTTTTAAAACCAAAGTGTACCCACTGCCCATATCTACTTGTAGTCATAGAGAGGAGCCTTGGTGCTCCCAACCTTTTAACTAGAGATGAAAAAGGGTCCAGGCCCAAAGTCCAGATCCAGCCCAACCCTGACCCAGAAAGCCCAAGCCTAGTGACCCTGAAGCCTGGTTTAGGCCAAGCCGATCAAAGCAGGCTCAGGCTAGACCCAACCCGATAAAACCCAATCAAGAAAAGTCTGAAAAACTCGGCTAAGCTTGGAAAAACCAAACAAAACCTGGTCTAGAAAAGTGGTTGAAGTAGTTTGTACAAGTATACCACCTCATAACTAACTATAACCACCACGAGAAAACCATGGAACATAAAACCAGAACAAACAGACCCAGTAAATCACATTTGAAAGTAGGGTTTGAAAATATGAGATAGGCAGACATGACCTCAACCCCGTAATCATCCATAACAAATTGCTATGCTTGCAATTTGGCTCAATGGTTCTCCAATTCAAGCATCAATGCTTGGTACCAAAATTTATTGTGTCTGAAGAAGAACTAGTACAGATAGAAAAGAATAATAACAATAATCCACATTCATCTGAAAACAGAGAGTTGAAACCAAGCAAAAATTCCATAATCAGAAGTCAAGTCTTCAAATGTGCTAATGGATTCTCCATTTTAACTGCAAAAGATATGAACACAATCACAATGGATTAATAATTATCATATGCATACAATTATCAAGAAATCTATGGAAATGTAAGAATGCAAGTTTCCAGAGTTCAATGCTCTTCTAATTCGCCTGAAGCTTCACATCAACCGGCAAGTTTTGAGACCTTTTTGTGTTAGGGGCAGGTTCAAACCAGAACCATAAACATATCGAGAGAGAAAAAAAAAACTATTCATGTTTTATTCATGATGAATGTTTGTGATGATGGCTATAAAAATGCATGATATTCATTATGAATAATACATGAAATGGTTGATTTGCAGGTTCTCAATGTACTTATGGTTATCATTTGAACTTTTCCCCTTATACAAGATAATGGATGAGTCATCTACGTTTACAAGATCACGAAGAAACTACGGGGGTTGCAGGCAAGTTTGATTCGTGGGCATAAGGGCAATAAGGTTTACGCACTTTTATCAGATTATCAAAAGACTAAAAAGTTGAACGAGCAAAAAGAATATCTTAAAGAGCGATAGAACACTACCTTATTACCTTATTTATGTCTTGTTTGATATTTAAACAAGCAACACAAAGGTGATAAATAGAGATTTGTGTTCACATAACGTAGTGCAGAAGAACAACGAAATGCAGTTCTTCACAACGATTTTAAATGAAAAGCACAAACCTACAACTCGGTTGTGATTGCCGCAATACTCTTACCTGAAACATAACCAAAGAAACAAGCTTCTCTCAGTATCTAAATGGCAGGGATTGAAAATAGAAAACAAAAATCACACTGAGAACATGGTTTTAGGGACAAGGGGAAAGTTCATACAAGAATCGTCACCATTACAAGTACCGTGAGAACCAACCATTCATTATGAATATACCTAAATATTCATGAACATTATTCAACATAAATTTCTATTATAATGCATGAATAGCTGGTTCTCAAATGAACCTGCCCCTTAGGAATAATAATGCATTTAGCACGCAAATGGACAAGACTAGACTAGACGGGACATGACTGCACGGACGAGAATGATGCAGGCGGGTGAAAGAATTGTGAACGGTTTTAGGGTTTTAATTGACATGGGCAGTTTAGTATTTTACCAATCTTGTCCCAAAAACGCACAAATTGATTAGATAAATAAATAGGATAGCAAGTTATTTACCGATCTTCTGTTCATCATTTGAAAAGTAATCTTGAATAGCAACCATTTTGAACTTGCTGGTTTTCAAGCTTCTTATGGCCTCACAAGTAGCCAAAGCACCCGAAACAGTTGTTATGATCGGAACCTTATAAGCAAGGGCCATCCTCCTCAGTTGACGGCCATCAATCTGGTCAAGATCGTCATTGGAACTTGTAATCACCATCAAGTTGATTTGTCCATTTGCAACCATATCACCTGCATGCGGACGTCCTTCATGCAGCTTCAGCACCCTCTCCACTGGGATCCCATCTAATTCAAGAACATGAGCAGTCCCAGAAGTTGAAACAATCGTAAATCCAAGCCCCACAAAAGCTCGTGCAATTTTCGCAAGATGTGGCTTTGTCATATCGTTTAGACTAAGGAAAACGGTCCCAGAAACTGGCAGCTTCTGGCCAGCAGCTATTTGCGATTTGGCAAATGCGATAGCGAAATCAAAGTCAATCCCCATCACTTCACCAGTGCTACGCATTTCCGGTCCAAGAAACACATCACAGCCTTGGAATTTCTCAAAAGGGAGAACCGCTTCTTTAACCGAAACATGTTTTGGGATGATTTCTTTCGTAAAGCCCAAATCTTGAAGGGAAATTCCCGACATTACAAGTGAAGCGTATTTAGCCAGTGGTCGCCCAATTGCCTTAGACACAAAAGGAACTGTACGAGAAGCTCGGGGATTTGCCTCCAACAAGAAAACGTCACCGGAAGCTGTGATTGCATACTGACAGTTCATAAGACCACACACATTTAGCCTCTTAGCCAATTTGGTTGTCCAAGATCTGATTGTTTCTAAACTTGAACGTGAAACCGTTTTTGTAGGAATCATGCAAGCCGAATCACCAGAATGGACCCCGGCTTGTTCAATATGCTCCATGATTCCACCAATAACCACATTTCCATGCAAATCAGCAAGTGAATCGATATCAATCTCTATGGCATCAGATAAGTATCTGTCAACCAAAACTGGGCGTTCCGGATCCACCTCAACAGCGGTTTCTAGATACTTTATTAGCTTCTCGTCACTATAAACAATCTCCATAGCACGACCACCTAAAACATAAGAAGGTCTAACAACAACTGGATATCCGATCTCTGATGCAATGGCAAGAGCGTCGGAATCACTTTTAGCAATGCCGCCTTTTGGTTGTTCGATTTCTAGTTCCTTCAAGATGGCATTGAATCTCTCTCGGTCCTCAGCAGCATCGATAGAATCAGGTGATGTGCCCCAAATGGAAACCTGCCCACCACTAGCAGAGGGGAGTTTGTGTTCATCTAGGTAGTGTTGGATGGGAAGAGCTAGTTTCAGAGGGGTTTGACCACCAAACTGCACGATGATGCCATCAGGACGTTCCATGTCAATGACGTTAAGTACGTCTTCAACTGTGAGGGGTTCAAAGTAGAGGCGGTCGCTTGTATCGTAGTCGGTGGACACAGTCTCGGGATTTGAGTTCATCATTATGGTTTCGTAGCCTGCCTCCTACATAAACAAGACAAAAGACATAAGCATATAAGACTTGAATTCCATTAAAATTCTCCCATTGAGCATTAAAAAGAACTCGTTTCAAAAAGCTCCAGGGGCCTTCTTCGATTATGCCCCTTATGTTTTTCTAGTTAACCTTTCAACGTGTTCTTTTAGAATGTTTTACATTGTCATCTAGCTTATCGGCTACCTTTCACAACCCATGACTAGCTTATTAGACAACAATTAACTTCTCACATAGTTTACCGAACAACTAGCTTATTTTTTGAGCTTGTATTTTTTTTTTTCAATTATGCCCCTTATATTTTTTCTAATTAATTATTCAACATGTCCTTTTAGGTTATTTTACATTATCATCTAGCTTATCAGCTAGTTTTTACCAAACATGACGAGGTTATCAGCCAACAACTAGCTCACCAAACATAGCCTTAATGTTGGAAAGCTCCCAAATTCTAAACTATCATGGGACAAATTCATCTGGACAGCAACCAGATTCAAATGACTACAGTCGGGTGAAGGGTGATCCTCAGATCAACCAAAAAAGACAAGGGAAGTTTTCTTACAAATAATGGTGTGTAAAAAGGGGTAAAAAATCATATTCAAGTACTTCACCATGCCAATTTATGTTATATGAATTGATTCTGTTATCATTAAGTGGATCCTAGGAGTTATAAATACAATCAAGAAAGCAATGAACAAACCTGGAGTGCAAATGAAGCATGGCAGCAACAATAATCGAACTCAATTCCTTGCCCAATTCTATTTGGCCCTCCACCCAAGATCAAAACTTTCTTTCTTTTGGTTGGAGCTGATTCACATTCGAAATCATAAGATGAATACATATAAGGAGTGTTTGCCTCAAATTCTGCAGCACATGTATCAACACGTTTGTAAGCAGGAGCAACTCCCAAAGACAACCGCTTTACACGAACTTTTTTCTCTGTTGAGTCTGTAGCAAATGCTATCTGTTTATCACTGAAACCTCTTTTCTTTACCTCATAGAACTCATCTTTGGTAAGCTGCGATAAACTTTTTGCCATGATATATTGCTCAACATCTATTAATTCTTTAAGTTGGGTGAGAAACCATGTGTCAATGAAACTCAACTCATGAATGGCATCCACCTTCATGCCTCTTTTCATTGCAGCATATATAGCATGGATTCGGTCAGGATTAGGGACCCGGAGACTGTATTTCAACTTGTCCCAATCCCAGTCCAGTTCCTTGATTGGTGCACAACCCCAACCAGAGAAGCCACATTCGAGTGATCTGACCGCCTTTTGAAAAGATTCTTGAAACGTGCGCCCTACTGCCATGGATTCACCAACAGATTTCATCTGGGTTGTCAACACCGGTTGAGATCCTGGGAATTTCTCAAATGCAAACCTGGGTATCTGTACCATATAAATTAGTGTTAGAATTATCATTAACACTGTATTCTCAAATTTTGGAAGAAAGGAAAGGAAAAGGAAAGAAATTCTTTTACTTGTGTTCTTGAAAGTGAAGGGAATGAACGGAAAGGGGACATTTTTTCATGTTCTTGAACCAAATAGAAATGAAAAGAAAGATGTTATTTTTACAAATTTTATCTTTTATACTTGTTTTTTCTCATTTCAGATTTTCTTTCCCTACAGTTCTTCCAACATTTGATATGAAAGTTTTGGGACGAAAGATAAAAATCAGACAAGACATAATTTTTCCCCTCCCTTTCCTTCCTTTTCCTTCAAAAAAAGGTTTCGAGAACACAATGTAAAAGATATACACAAAACACAGAATATGAATAAAAAAGATGGCAAGTTTAAAGCGATAAACTAAAAGAAAGGTCAAGGGTTCTAGCCTTTGTGACAACATAATCAATAGAAGGTTCGAAACTAGCCGGTGTCTTCATTGTGATATCATTAGGAATCTGATCCAAAGAATAACCAACAGATAATTTGGCAGCCATTTTTGCAATAGGAAAACCAGTAGCTTTTGATGCCAAAGCAGAGGACCTTGAAACTCTAGGATTCATTTCAATAACCATAACCTCACCATCCACAGGATTCACAGCAAATTGTACATTAGAACCACCACATTCAACTCCAATTTCCCTTATAATAGCTATAGAGTAATCACGAAGCCGTTGGTACTCCTTATCGGTCAAAGTTTGTGCAGGAGCAACTGTGATTGAATCCCCAGTATGAACACCCATTGGATCAATATTCTCAATAGAACATATAATAACCACATTGTCAGCCAAATCCCTCATAACCTCAAGCTCATATTCTTTCCAACCTAACAAAGATTTCTCCACTAAAACCTGTGATGTCACGCTGGCTGCCAGCCCAGACTTGCAAATTGCCTCAAATTCTTGTTTATTATACGCAATCCCACCACCAGAACCCCCTAAAGTAAAAGCCGGTCTAATAATCAAAGGAAACTCACCAATTGTGTTAGCGATTTGCAGACATTCTTGAAGGGTGGTTCCAATCCCAGATGGAGGAGTCTTGAGCCCGATGTTCTTCATGGCTTCCTTAAACAATTCCCTATCTTCAGCCTTCTTAATAGCTTCAAGCTTCGCTCCGATCAACTCCACATTATACTTATCAAGAACACCGCTTTCAGCCAACGCCACCGCAAGATTGAGCGCAGTTTGGCCACCCATGGTGGGCAAAATCGCGTCTGGTCTCTCGATTGCAATCACCTGCTCGACTAACTCCGGCGTCATGGGTTCAATGTAAGTCCTGTCCGCCATCTCTGGATCAGTCATGATGGTAGCAGGGTTTGAGTTGATAAGAACAACCTCATACCCATTCTCTCTCAAAGCTTTACAAGCTTGGGTACCAGAATAGTCGAATTCGCAAGCTTGGCCGATAACAATAGGCCCAGCACCAAGAATCATAATCTTTTTTATATCAGTTCGCTTACCCACATTTGATTTTTGATCTCCGGTCACTTGGCTGGTCTTAACAGAGCTACATGTAATGGAAGAAACATTTGACGATAAGTGGTGGGAAATCTTGGACTTGTTAATTGAGAATGATGGTAAAGGAAAAGACTTGGGTTTGGAGGAAATGAAAGCGGAGGTGGCGGTGGTGGAGGAGATGAAGACATTTTCACAGGGGCTGAAGCAGCGAACCGCCATGTCTGTAACGTTTACGACGGTGAAGATAGAGGATATCTGTAACGTTTACGACGGTGGAGATAGAGGAAGATGGAAAGAGAGCAGAGCGGCGCTTGAGACAGAAAGAAGGTTAGGTTTTAAGCCAAATGCTTCGGAGTTCCGAACCCACCCTACCTTTCGGCTCTCTTCTCCACTATCCAAAAGTGGTTCCTGCCCTTTGCTTTAATCATTATTGGCCTTTTATTTTTATATTATATATAGAGACAGATTTTTTTTGTTAACTTAATTTATGGTGTTAACTTTATAAATCTATCATAATCATTCATCTTGTGAATCGATGGATGACATTTATGATGATAATTTTGTAATAATTAATAATATAATATGTTATCATCTAAGATGAACATATACAAACAAAAGTATTATTGAAAAAAAATTCATAATGGCATGAATGTTTTGTAACTGCCCATATGTATATTAATGTTTTATAGCTGCCCATGTTTTGTAACCACCCATAAGTATATTAATTTATTGTCATTAATAAAAAATCTTTATCATTATGAATATTAATATACACTTGAGCATCTCTCTTTTTGTACGAACATGCATTCACTTATGAATAATTATGAAGAGTGCTTTGGATGTTCGTATATGTTGACATGTGTTATGTGCATTGCTTGGATGTTCACAAAAGTTCATTTGGTTGTTTCATATTTTTATATGTTCACAGACAATGAATATTATACAACTATTGGAAATACGTTCACTTATGAACAATTAAATTTTGTTCAACCATTAATATCGCTTAATAAATCAAACTCAGGTGTTTGATGTGAAGAATGACGTCGATACGTATATGTCAAAATATCAAATGAATAATCTGGGGAAAAATAACATAATAATTTAGCTGGAATCATGGGATGAGAAGTTTTTGCAGCAACTCAATAATGCAAATGTAAGTAAGACAAAAAAAAGAAAATTATCAATATAACCTTAATATTAATTGCATGGTAATAGATAAAGGGGAAGACTAATGGCACCCATATGTTATACTAATGACATATTGACATCCCTATAGTTAGGTAATCATTTCATTTTTTGTTATTTTTTTATTGTTTTTGTCTTTTTGTTGTCTTTTTTTTTTATATTAATTTTTTAATTATCTTGTAATAATAGATATTATTACAAATATTATTTTTTATTCTATAAAAATATTAATATTAAAAAA